ATGGACTGATTGGCGCTGTTTTAAAATTGTTGCCCTGGCTATGTCAAGTAAGGGATGTGGCGGGGAGGTGGGAAGCACGGAGCCCTGATAGGCTGCTGCAGTGGGGAAGTGATGGTGGCCTGGGGCAGGGTGTAGGCCGTGGAGGGGGACTGGGCATTTCTCTTTAAGTAGTTGTCTAGGAAGTAAACTGTTGGGTTTGAGGTTTGGATGTGGGAGAGAAGAGAGTAGGGAATCCAAGGTGCCCTCCCCTTGGGTTTTATGGTTGGACACTGGGCTGGATGTTGCCACGTGGGGCTCACGGGGCCTGTCCCTCAGGAAGTGGACATCTACACGGTGAAGGTGGAAGACCTGACCTTCACATCCCCCTTCTGCCTGCAAGTGAAGCGGAACGACTACGTGCACGCCCTGGTGGCCTACTTCAACATCGAGTTCACACGCTGCCACAAGAGGACCGGGTTTTCCACCAGTGAGTGTGGGGGTGGGGGCTGTGGGGCGTGTGACAGGAGCGGCCAGAGGAGCCAAGGGGACAGTGAGAACTCGGTCCCATGCCGGCTCTGCCAGCTAACCTGAGCATGCTGTGCCTTCGTTTCCCTACCCACGAAACCTAGACAGCTTCCTCCTTAAGGCTGGAGGAGGGAGAAAGGATTCACAGGCAGGTCGACCACAGTCAGTGCTCAGTAACAGGCTATTGGAGTGTGTGCCAGGCAAAGGGGAGGGCAAGGCCAAAGCGGGGGTTTAGGGTGGGGCAGGAGGCTATGGTCCAGCTGAACCGACCCTGCCCCCAGGCCCCGAGTCCCCGTACACGCACTGGAAACAGACGGTGTTCTACATGGAGGACTACCTGACGGTGAAGACGGGCGAGGAGATCTTTGGCACCATTGGCATGCGGCCCAATGCCAAGAATAATGTGAGGCTCGAAGGGAGCTGGGGTGGGGCATGGACTGGGGCACTTTTGCCTGTCGGGGGCTCTCGTGGTCTGTGGCACACGGTTTTATTGAACACCTACCGGAAGTGGGGCCCTGGGGACCCAGCCATGATCAGGCCCAGCTCCTGCCCTCCTGATGCTCCTGTTATCGACACAGGACACACATGGTAAACCCCAGCTGGAGATGACGTTTGCGGGGACAGAGGGAGAACCACAGGGTTTCCTAGCCCGGGCAGTCTTGGGGAGTGAAGGGAGGGAAGGAAAGGAAGGCTGTTTCTTCCTCTTTAGCACCTGGCAGCACGAAGCAGCCATCAGCTGGGGCATGAGCGGGTAAGCAGGTCTGGGGCAAAGTCAGGAGTCCCAGCGCAGCCAGTGTGGGTGGTGGGAGGAAAGGTCTGGGGTCCTGAGTGGAGGGGAGTGGTCTGTGCCGGAAATAGCAGGCCAGTGCTCATGTGGCTGGATGATGCTCAGGTAGCCTGTGCGGAGGGGAGTGGCCCAAGATTGCACCCAGGTTCTGAGTCGAGATAAGAACCCGTTAAAGCAGTGACTCAACCAAGGACAGTTTTGCTGTCCTCCAGAGGACATTTGTCAATGCGGATATTTTGGGTTGTTAACAACTGGAGAAGGGGTGGTACTGGTATCTAGTGGGTAGAGGCTGGGGTGTGCACAGGACAACAAAGAATGGCTCCATAATGAAGAATGGTGGCACCCCAAATGTCAGCAGTGTGGAGGCTGTGAAACCCCAAACGAGAGAGAGAGAGAGAGATGGCCAAGAGGGAGGAGGGAGCGCCAGAGCTCTTGGTGAATTGAGGTCATTGGTGACTGCCCCAGCCCTTCTTGGGGGTGGGTGGACAGGGAGGATTGGCTTCCAGGAAGCTGGGGTGAAGAGGAAGTAGGGACAAGGGGTGGGACCACTGAGTTTAGCTGTCAGGTTTTTTGGAAGGAGGAAGTGTGCCTCAGAGGGGTTAGCTCCTTATAAAAGAAGAAATAACTATTTTGCTGATGGGAATAGTCCTGGTGAGGAAAATGTAATGAAAGAGGCAGGGCAGCTGAGCTCTGCCCCTGAGGGCCCTGCTGGGCTTGAGAATGTCACATGGAGCTGTCACTGGGAGTTAGGGTTCAGGGCAGATGCTCGGAGTGGCACCAGCAATATGGGGTCTCCAGCCTGGATGTGGGTGGGAGGGTGTGTAGACAGCTGGGGGAGTCACGGTGTCTCAGGTGTGCTGGGTCTGCACCGCCTCTGCTTCTTGACTCAGACAGTTTTAGGTCTCTGCCTGCCATGTCTCCAGTCCCGCCCCCCTCACACCTGCCCTCTCCCCACAGCGTGACCTGGACTTCACCATTGACCTGGACTTCAAGGGCCAGCTGTGTGAGCTGTCCTGCTCCACCGACTACCGGATGCGCTGAGACAGCGCCTGGTTCCTCCCACCCCCGCCGGGCAGGCCCTACATGGGCCCAGGGGCTGTGGCGTTCTTAGGCAGTTTCGGGGCTCCTCCTTCCTCTCCCTCCCTCAGAAGGGGGTTTTAGGGGCCTGGGTGGGGGTGGGGGGATGGGAGGGGGAGGGCACATCGTGACTGTGTTTTTCATAACTTATGTTTTTATATGGTTGCATTTACGCCAATAAATCCTCAGCTGGGACACCTCAGCTTCCTGAGGGCAAAGTGGTGTTTGGGGTTCAGCCCACAGGTGCTGAGGTCCCAGCCCTAGCAGCCCAGACTACCAGGATGAGGCCTGTCGAGGGCTGTAGGCCTCATTTCTTTTTCCCACCTCTGGCCTCTCAGTGTCTTATCCCAACTCTCCCCTTAGCTCTCTCCCAGGATCCCTTCCCCCCAGCCCTCTCTTGAGAGTCTGTCCCCCCACCCCCCTCTCTCTTGCCCCCTGAGGCTCTGTTATATGGTTCTGTTCCCAGCTGCCCTGCCAGGCTGGGGGAAGGTAGGGGTTTCTAGCACAGCTGGGCCCTGAAGTTTCCAAAAAAACTGTCTCCCTGCTTCCCCCGACACACACATTGGTCTCATTTTTTTACTGTCCGGGACCCTCTAAGGTCAGGCCAAGGCAAACGCAGTGACTACTGCCCTGCTTTCTGCAGCTGGGGAAACTGAGTCATGGCGGGGTTGCCTTGGGGGATAGAATTACTTGTGTGGGGATGTGTGTCCACTTCCTCCCCAAGCCTGACTTGGAGCTTGGGTATAGGGATCAATGGGGGGAGGGGGGTGGTCCCATCTCAGGGTAGCAAGGCCTCTCCACTTCAGAGATGGACTAACCTTCCAGGGGCTATCTGTCCAGCTGCTGCAGGCATGGCATCTTCACCCATCTGTCCTTTCCCCTGGTCCACCAGGACACTGTCCACACAACCTGGATCACTCAACATACTGTGTCTTCCCACAACCCTTGCTACAACTGCTTCAGTGCAGCTGGAGCCCAGACTCCCTTTGTCCCCATCCCCAGGTGGACCTGTCTGCACAGGCCCCGCATTCCCCAGCCCCCTCTCTGAAAGTTGCCTGGCCTCACCTGTTTTTGTTTTTTTTTTAAAGATTTTATTATTGGGGATTTGGGGGAGGGGAACAGACAAGTTGCTGCCCTTTTGTTCTTCAGTCTAGTTGTGGAGGATGGCGCTTCACTGGCCTGTGTTGGTATTTCATTGCGCTCTTCCTGGGGGAGGCAGTCGTTGGCCGGCCATTGGACGGCGGCTCACTGGCAGCTGAGCTCCAGGTCGAGCTGTGCACCATCTTAGCTGTAAAGGGCGCAGCGTCACTGGCCCTCATATGGGATCCCAACCGTGGCCCTGCTGCTCAGAGCTGGCGTCGCAAGACAACTAAACAATGCGCCACTCAGCAGGCCCTGGCCTCACCTCTTGAGACTGGGAAGTGTCTCCACCCGTTGGCTGTGCTGGTCTTTGCCGGGTGAGACGGCAACTACACAGAAGCACAGCTCCCCCTCTCCCACCCCTTTCCTGGAAACCCTGCTGAGCCACTAGCTGGTGTCTGCTGCCTGGCCCCTTATCGCTCTACCTTAAAAGGGCCATATCTTCCTGGGGGGATGGGGGGGTTCAGCGGTGCAGTTGGACCCTTATACCTGTGGGGGCTCCCTAAGGGCAGTGCAGGAGGTGGGGATCCGGGTTCTAATCCTGCTCTGGGTGGTGTGACCTTATAGATTCGCCTGTTCCCCCCCGTCCGTGCCCCCCCCCTGGGGAGTGGGGATTGGCCCTGACTCTGAGCTAAAGCGGGCCTTGGGAGGAGAGGGTTATCCAGCTCCTGGAAGGGGCCAGGACCTCACCCCAAAGAGGCTGCTTGCCCGCCTGTTTTCCACCCCAAGGTGACTGCCTACACCCTCCTGCTGTTGCTCCTCTGTTCTGGGGCACCCGAACTCCCGGGTTCAGGTGAGAGCCTGGTGCCAGGCAGGGACATGGCAAGAAGAAGGAAAAGCACGTGGGGTGTGCCCTCTGGGCCAGGGTGTTCCGCTGTGATGGAATGGGAAGGCCATCTAAGTGTGCGTGCCCCTTAAAAGTTATCGGAATTCTAGGTTCCCCTACCCAACTGAGTCCCATTTCATAAGTGGCTTCCGTTTAAACCCAGTGTCCCGCGCCCCCACACCAGGTACCCCAACACTGCAGGCACTTTTGTTCCCTGGACACGTGCCAGGCACACCACCTGCCAAAGACCATACTGGCTCTGCTCTGCCTCCACCAAGCAGCTCTCTCAAGGAAGGTTGACAGCGAGCCCCAAGGACCCCACAGCTATGGGCGCCACCGGTGGCAAGAGGTCCCAGCCCTTGTTGCGGTTTCTCCAGGACCCCGCCTGCAGCAATAAGGCCAGTGCAGTGACCAGCTTGCTGGGTGATATCGGGCACGTCTCTGCCTCCCCCAGACCTCAGTTTACCCATCTGTATATTGGGGTCACGAACGCGTTTCCCCCCCCCCCAACTCCATGTGGGTTTACCCAGAGACCGTCTCCCACCCGCCCCCACACCCCCTGGCGTGATTGGCTGCGCTGGGCACACCTGAGCCAGCACGGACAATATTAACCTCCAGAGTCGAATAAAATTGTTCTGTGTTTCAGTCTCTTCAGTCTCATTCGTGTCTCCCGATCTGAGCCCGGTCACTATTGTATTCTTCCCTTTTACCCATTCACATTTTCCCTCACGGAAGTCCCTCTAACTGTCTAACTTGAATCCAATCTGCTTTAGCTCCTTCGCGTCAACTCAGTCCATGCAGCTGCACGTTCTATCGGTGGTTTTGGTGCACTGACCGGACCCCAAAACAGCCCTCCTCCCTCCCCCGGTGGTAGGGCTGAGATTCGCTCCGGCTTGATACTACCCAACGTGCGTCACTACGTGTATCCAGAGATAGGCTGTGAGTTTCAAGCTGAGCTTCGTTCCTTGAAGATAAAGGAGCGAGCACCTTGAGAAACAGCGGAATTGGGAGCCCAAGATCGTGGGGTTCAAAGGAGAGATTCTGCGTAGAACGCGGCAGGTCAAATAGAGAATCAGGCAGGGTAGAGAGACCAGGATAGGGATTGGACGTTGGGCTTCCGAGAGGGCGGGGATTTGAAGGAGGCGGGGATAGAACACAGAGGGACTGGAACCGAGCGGAGGTAAAACCAGGGACTTGAATACCCCCCCGAAATACACGCAAGACAGAAATCGGGGTTCCTGGATATTGGATAATCGGGGGCGGGCAGGAGTTCCGAAGGCCGGTCGACCAAGTCTTGGACTCGTCGCTCTGGGATTGGTCATATGCAAGTGGGAGACGGGTCTAGCGCTCTAAATCGGGGTTTGGGGAGGTGTACTAAGGCTTGGTCCCCAGGATCCGATCGGCACACCCCAGACTCAGCGTGGTAAGTATCGGCCCGGAGGGACCCCAGCTGCTGCAGGAGCTGGAGGCCTGTGTCTTGGGTTAGGCATGCGAGACTCGCCATCACTTGTCCTGGACGCATGCTTGGGCTTACAGCCTCAGCATCCCCAGCTGCGAAACATGCGCAGTAGGGTGTTCCAGCCCCCAACATCTCTAGCCCCAGGGGCGGGGGGAGGGGACGCTGGGCCACCCCAGAGCGGATGAATTTATAGACAGTCCTCCCGCCCCACCCCCGCCTTGGAATGGGAAGCGGAAATCGGATGGACACTGCCAACGTCCGGCAGGTGTTCGTTTCAAATGGGTCTAGGACTAATATTTTTTATCGAGACCCCCTCAACTCACCCTGGACCGGTTTCCTCCCTCCACCCCCGAATCTTAAAAGTCCTATATCGGGGGCATCGCCCCCGCACCACGTCCTCAGCAGAGCCGCAAAAGGGGGAGTTATCCTTCCCGCCTCTGTTTTCACAGAGATCCCAAATTGACGTCCCCCCAACACCGGAGTCTCGGCTGGGACCCTCAAGATTCCTCAGGTGCTTAGGAAGGGTGAGCCGGCATCCTGTATTCTTGGGTCAGCGGGAGGAGAGGGTTGGGGACCTGCACTCCTAGGTCTGAGGAAGCTAGGGGCTAGAGACCTGGAGAATGACCCTCTGTTTTCCCAGGGGGTCTAACGCGACATGGCTGAAGCACACCAGGCTGTAGGCTTCCGACCCTCACTGTCTTCTGAACGGGCGGAAGTGGAATTCAGTGCCCCGGTGTTGCAGGAGATCTACCTGTCCGGACTGCGCTCTTGGAAAAGGCATCTCTCGCGTTTTTGGGTGAGGAGGGCTGTGGCTTGGTTTCCTTCCGGGAATCCACTTATCTGCTTCCAGGATGCCTGAGGCCCACTTCCAGCATCCTGGTGGTCCCATTTCTGGGATCATATCACTCCCTTCTGGGATTTCTGATGTCTACTTCCAAGACCCCTAAAATTATTTCCTGGTCTGTAGCTCGCTTCTGGGATCCTCAACCTCAGCTATTAGGAAACCCTGTTTACCCCTTGTATCCATTTCCTGGACCCCCACCTTCCCCACACCCCGAAACACAACTTCCACCCCAATTTTTAGAACTCAGTCCCCTTCCCATGGTGCACATCTCATCTTTCCCTTTCATCTCCAGGCTCTAAACTAGGTGCTCCCCTTTGCTGAACACTAAGACCTGATCAAGATCTTGGGTAGCCCACACCACAATCCTGAAGGCCCCTCAGTTCTGAGTTGTGAACCTCCAATATCTGTATCCTGCACTTCTCCATCACCATAAACCCTGCTGTCCCAGCTCTGGAAAAGCCCAACTCCTCCTCCTTTCCCTGGCTCTAAAATGCCTATGCCCTCCATATAACCAGAACCCATGTCTGCCCCAGAGTCCCTGGTTCTAGAACTCTGGCACCATCTATTGGGTTGTCTGAAAAGTCATGACGTATTTTTTCTATGTTTTCATGGCAAAAATGCATCATGACTTTTCTGACAACCCAGTACATAAGAGTCTCCCTGCTGGTCACATCCTCTCTGTCTGTCCTCACAGGTCTTGAACACCTGTGGGGTCAGCCAGGACTGAATTTGAATCCTGGCTCTGCCACTACTAGTTGTGTGGCCTTGGGCAAGTGCTCCTCTCTGAGCCTCAGTTTACCCACATGTAAAACAGGGGTAATGATGGCCCCTTCCTTACAGGGCAGTCACAAGGATTAAATGAATTCTTACATGACAACTGCCAGGCCCATGGCAAGTGCTGAGTAAGTGTTAGCTTTTGATAATATTGTTTTCCATTCATTCGACAAATATCCGTGGAGCATTTGTTCAGGGCCTGGCACTGTTTGGGGCATTGGGGACATGTCAGGGAGCAGGACAGATGGAATCCTGCCCTCATGGAGCTCTCCATTTAGTTGGAGTGGAAGACAATAGAGAAGAAAAATAAGCATATATGTATGCATACATATATGTTTAAACTAAGAGATACAGAAAAATGCAGATTTTTTTAAGCACACAGTGAGTTTTCAGAATACTTATATAACCAAGCCACCCCTGCAAAGGAGTCAAGACCTGAAAACCTTTGCCAATGGCCAAATGGCCCCCACCAGACACTCACATAAGTATCAAATGATAATTGTAATAATAGTCACTCTTCCCTTTCTAGCACACAGCCACCTCTCTCCCTGATGGTTACTTGGAGCTCTCATGTCTTCCCTTTTTTACTTTTTTACTTTGGGACCCCAGTTATCACCCTGAAGCCATAGCTCCTGGAACTTGGTACCAGGGTAAGGGCTGTGCCCTCCTCAACACCAGAGCTGTGATTCCATAGAGCGATTGCCAAGCCTCAGTGTCTTCATTTCTGAAATGGAAACCTTGACAGTTCCTGCCTCAAGGGATTGTTGGAAGCATTTAGTTGTCTTAGCAGAAGGCCTTGCTCACAGGAGTGATGACTCCAGCATTGCCATTCTAATCTTATGTGCCATGTAGGTGCTGTGTGACCTACAGCATGCTAGTAGCTTCTCTGGGCTTCTGCTCCACCATTTCTAAAATCACATTTGGATAGTAGTGTGCCCAGGATTCTACACTAACCAATCCCTTTAAATCTATTGCTCTTGAGGGCCTTCTAAGGCAGAGGTATTGTTTGCCGCATTTTACAGATAAAGAAACAGCAGTCCAAAGAGGTGCTTTCACTTTTCCCAAGGTCACACAGCTGTTAAGATGCAGAACTTGAGGCAGAACTAGAATTAGCAGTCTGGTTCTGGATCCCATGCAGATGCTCACTATCATGGGCTGCTTTTCTAGAATGTGGTCCCAGAACCTACACTATAGGGATGTTGTGAATTATGTGCAATGGGTGGGTCACTTGGGCCAAGCATGTGGCATGACATCCATCACTTAGTGGGACATTCATCAGCAGGAAGTCTGTGTCCCCTGAAATGGTTTCCAAATGAATATGAAATTCAGAGATATGGCAGACCCCAGAGGACAGTACTTTGTAGGACATCCTGTTGCATTAGGGTCCCAAGGTATCTGGATGATTTGAGTGGTTGCTAGTGGACCCTGTAGCTAGGGGATCTGGGTTCAAATCCTAGCTCCACGATTTACTGGCTGTGTGGCCTTGGATGGATTCAAAGTGCCCTGGAGAAATTTCCTGCTATTATGAAGCCTCTGTTCTCTTGCAACCCAGAGTGCCAGATAGAACTGACAACTTCTTTTAAAAAGAAAAATGAAACAAAATATTGGGTCATCGTGAAAGTCATGATGTATTTTTCTGTTTTTCAATGCAAAAATGCATCATGACTTTCCCGATGACCCAATATAACCACATTTGCCAGTAACATTTTCCTGCCAAGCCATAGGAAGACTGTCAAGTAAAAGCCCCAAGGAAAAGTAGAGTAGCAATAGAAAGGATCACTGTAATATTTATTGAGCACCTACTGTGTGCCTGGCTCTGAGCGATGCAATCCAGCCTTTTCTCCAGGCCTCTTGTCTGCTTTATTTTTCACCATAGCACCTAGCGCCATCTGACATACTACACTAAATCCTTCACTTATATAGTATTGTCTCTGTCCCCCAGAAAAGCAGGCATCTTGCTATCTTGTCACTGCTGTAGGATCACAATAAACATTTGTGGAATGATGTTTTCTCATCCAGCTCTTGTGACAGACAACCCTATGAGCCAAGTTTTGGGATTATTCCCATTCTACAGTTGAGGACACAGAGGTGGAGTCACGTGCTTGTGGTCATTCATCTAGTTAGTGACAGAGATTTGAGCCCAGATTCTAAACCCTGATCTCTGAGGCCTTTCTTTTCTTTAAATGTGGGAAAAGAAAGTGGTTTCTTGAGCCTGGATAGTGCTGCCCCACCAACTGTAGCTATTATCCTGTTTTAGCCATGCTCTCTGTGTGACCTTGAAGCAGAATATTTTCTTTTGTAAAATGAGATCATCTTAGTATCTGCTTCACAGGGTTGTGGGGAGGATTTAAAGAGTTAAGGCTTGTGGGGCGGCCGGTTAGCTCAGTTGGTTAGAGTACAGTGCTCATAACACCAAGGTTGCCAGTTCGATCCCCACATGGGCCACTGAGTTGCGCCCTCTACAACTAGATTGAAACAACTACTTGACTTTACAGGAGCTGATGGGTCCTGGAAAAACACACTGTTCCCCCACCCAAAAAAAAGGGTAACTGTCACCTCATGTGTTAAAAAAAAAGTTAAGCCTTGTAAATGCCTGGCACATAGTGCTCATTAAGTGTTAGTTATCTACAATAGATTACCCTTCTCTAGGAATCTGGTTAGTAACCCAGCACTTTCATTCATCTCTCACTCATTCCATGGCCAGATAGTTCTAGAAGGCCTACTGAGCTCCAGACCCTACTGTATCTGGGGGCTCATTTTGTCTTCAAGGTCCTCCCTTAGAATAACCTCCTCCAGGAAGTCCTCCCTGACTCCCTTGGGCTAACCCGCTACCACAGGGCTCCTGTGCCATGTCCTACTGCCATTAGCACTCATTCCAGACTGACCTCCCTGAGGGCAGAATCTACATCAGTCTATTCCCCACTGGGTCTTGAGCATCCAGCTCAGGGCCTAGCGCACACTGGATGCTCAATCAATAACTAAAAATGGTGCTTAAAGGACAGGATAACTGATTGGATGGATGCCCTTTTTCCCCCTGCAGAACGACTTTCTCACTGGTATGTTCCCCGCCAGCCCCCTCAGCTGGCTCTTCCTCTTCAGTGCAATTCAGCTTGCCTGGTTCCTCCAGCTGGACCCTTCCCTAGGACTGATGGAGAAAATCAAAGAGTTGCTGCCAGACTGGTGAGCTCCCCACTTCAGCCGAGTGTCCTCCCTAATCCCTTTCCCTACACCCAGTAAGTTTCTGTATCAGCGTGGTGTGTCTGCTGAAGAAAAACCCTGAGACTTACTTTGGGACAGATTAATAAAGGTATATCATCAATAGAAAGGAGGTGATTTCCTCTCTTCTCTCTGCACATTTTCCATTCTGGCTGTTTCTTGCCAAGAGGGATGGTGACAAACTAGAAAATGTCCAGATATAGTTATATATACTAATGAAAGTATGAACTCTGTTAGTCCCCAGTTGTGTAGTCTTAGGTGAGAGACCACCATTCTTGGTGTCAGAGTCTTCATCTGTAAAATGGGGATAATAATATTTGTTTCTTAGGGTGATTGGAAGAAGTAAACAAAATCACGCATGTGGAATATTCAATACAATGCCAGGAAGTTATTAAATAAAAAGTTGTAATATTATAGTTGTTGCAGTCATTTGGGGAAAGGTTTGGCAACCAGATGCCAGTGAAGTGACAGGTTCTAACTCTTAGATTAGTCTCCCTGGGGAAGAAGGCAAATTTTGTGCAGACAGCCCCAAAGGGCAGACCTTGGATCAGACGTAGAAACTTCCAGGAAAACTAGATTTACAATCTACAGAAAGGAGGTGACTCACCCCAAGACCTCCAGGTGGGATTTACTCCCATGTCTGATTGTAACTTTGCAAACATGTTGATTTACTGTAACTTTAGACCAGTTTCCTAAACTTTAGTTTGTATTGGAACCACCTGCAGACTTGTTAAAACACCGATTGCTGGGCCCCACCCCAAGAGATTCTGTTTTAGTAGGTCTGGGTTAGGCCTAGGAATTTGCATTTCTAGCAAGCTCCCAGGTGGTGCTGATGCTGCTGGTCCAAGGGCCACACTTTGAGAACCACTGCCTTAAAGTATAATTCGATATCTGAGAGGGAAAAGTGTCCCTTCAATAGAAATACCACCTATTAAGCACCTACCAATTTCCATGGGAAGTGATTTTAAAAGCTTGGTGTCCCCACAATCCTGGGGGGAGGAGGGTGCCAAGAGAAGATAGCACCTACTTTACAAATTAGGAAACTGGACTTCTCTGATTCTAATTCTACAAGATAAACCTTCAACAGCCAAAAGACCAGTCAGAGAATATTAGGGAGGGCAGGGGCTGGGTGGGGCTGGAAGAGAGGGGAATTCTGAAACTAGGAGACCCAGGCCCATCCTCTCTTTCTCTCCCCTCAGGGGAGGACAGCACCACAGGCTTCGGGGGGTCCTGGCTGCTGCACTGTTTGCTTCTTGTCTGTGGGGAGCCCTGATCTTTACACTTCACGTGGCTCTGAGGCTGCTTCTGTCCTATCACGGCTGGCTCCTTGAACCCCACGGAGCCATGTCCTCACTCACCAAGACTTGGCTGGTATGTGAGAAGCAGTGCCTCCAGGAGCCCACTTTTCTGTCCTCTTCTCTCTGGGTCTCTGTCCCCTCTATTTGTAGGTCTCTGTCCCCCTCTCTATGGGTCTCTGTTCCCTCTATCTTTAGGTTTCAGGCCCCTTCTTTCTGGATCTCTATCCCCCTTTCTTTGGGGTTCTGTCCCATTCTGTCACATACACCCCACCCAGTCCCTGTCCCCACTGAAAGGTTTAATGATCCACTAATTCTCGCTTCCCTCCAGGCCCTGGTCCGCATCTTCTCTGGCCGCCATCCGATGCTCTTCAGTTACCAGCGCTCCCTGCCGCGCCAGCCCGTGCCCTCTGTGCAGGACACCGTGCGCAAGGTGGGCCTGTTACCCGGTGATGAGGGGGGGGGCGAAGCAGGCGAGGGTGGGCGGAGGGCGTGACCTACCCTCTTTTCCTCCTTGCCTCCTCAGTACCTGGAGTCTGTCCGTCCTGTCCTCTCGGACGAGGACTTCGACTGTACTGCGATCCTAGCACAGGAATTCCTGAGACTACAGGCGTCGCTGCTGCAGTGGTACCTGTGGCTCAAATCCTGGTGGGCGTCCAATTACGTGAGTCCCTTATCCGCAAGGCAAAAGTTCTGAGCCCACCCTTCTAACCCTGAGGTAGACGCCCCGTTCCACGCCCCGCCCACAATCCCTAGGTCCTGCGGTGATTGGAGGTCCGAGATACTCAATCTCAGCCTCGCCCCACGCTTCAATAATTTAAACCCGGCCCCAGATGCTCCGATATTCCGAGCTCCTCTCTGCTCTCCAATATTCTGAACCCCGTCTATCATGTGCCAACACTTTGAGCCCCGCCCTCCATGCGCCAACATTCTGAGACTGACTCCAATAATCTAAGCTCCGCCACCAGGACCCGCCCACATCCAGAGCTCCGCCAGTATTTGAACTAAAATTCCAGGACCTATCCAACAGGCAGCCTCTCTCCTGGCAACACTCTAAGCCCCGCCCCCAAAATAGTTCTTTCCGTCCACCCTCTGCTCAAGGACACACCTTCTCCAAATGGGCTTCTATTCTGAATTCAGGAGCTAGATGAGTTGAGCTCCTTGAGGCATAGAGCAAGTCAGCGATTCCCCCAAATCAGGGTTTATCAGGTTCCATCCTGTAGGAAGCTGTAATAGCCTCAGGTAGTATGTGGAAGTGGAGGTAACAATGAAGAGACAGATGGGATGATGTAAGTCCTGGGGGGGAGGTGGTCAAAGGAGGCCGCAGCTGGATGAGAGGATCAGGGTTCCAGGAGAAGGTACTAGGGCTGAATCTTGAGAGCTGGAGAGAATTTGAACCTGTCAGGTTGATAGAAGGAATAGCCTGAGCAGCGGTGAGGAAGTAGAAAAGTTGTGGGGCTTGGGCTGGGAGCAAGGAGGCTTTACTCTGGTTGGAGCAAGGAAATTCAAAGGTGGTGGTCATGAGAGGTGATGGCGGAGTGGTGGGGGGAGGCCTGGACTCTAGTTGAGGACCCTGGACTTTGTCTTGGGGGTGCTAAGGAGCCAGGGGAGGATTTTGAACAGGAGAGAGGGAAAGTCTGGAGGGGAGATGCTGGAGGCTGGGAGGCTGGAGTGAGAGTCTAGAGCAGGGGTCGGCAAACTGTGGCTTGTGAGCCACATGCAACTCCATGGGTACCTTCTGTCTCAAAAGTTTGCTGACCCCTGGAAGAGCCAATCCTGTCCCTCACAACAATATAAAAAGTATTCGAGAGCCATAAATATATTTTTACATAATCACCATTATGTGAATAATATCCTTTAAACATTTTATAAATGAAATATGATAGTTTTATTTTCATTTTCAATTTTACTTCTGAGCCACATGTATGTACCCAAAGAGCCGCATGTGGCTCACGAGCTGCAGTTTGCTGACCCCTGGCAGCTCTTCTGTCTAAAAAGTTTGCCGATCCCTGGTCTAGAGGGAGAGGACAAAGCCTGAGAGGCGGCTGTGCGACAGAGGGGACAGGCAGAGAGAGCATCAAGGGTCAGGAGGGTGGGGCAGGGAACTGCCACGCTGTCAGGGAGAGGAGGGAGATGGCAAAGATGGTACCCATGGTCTCACCTGGTGATTGGCGGGGGTGGGGGGACTGTGGGGCTCTCCCTTACATGAGGAGAAGGGAAACAGCTTTGATATCATGACACTGAGCTCCGTGGAGGCAGGTTTGACTGACCTGGAGGGTCCAGGAGAGACACCCCAGAGACTGAGTGAGGGTTCAAGCAAGACGCTGGGTTGTGACTGCAAACAGGGACCCTCAGCTTTAGAAGAATATTGAAACATTAGACTTGGATGAAAATATCGGAGGCGAGAATATAGAGTGAAAAGGGAAGAGGGTTTGGGACAGAGCCCCAAGGGATAGCAACATGGAAGTCACACAAGCTTGATGGAGGGCACTGAGTTGCACCTAGAGAGGTAGAATGGAAGCCAGGCCTTAGTTTTTACTTTTTTTTTTTCTTCATCCTCTTCAACTAGATTCTGCTCTATAAAATTAAATAAACGCACATATACACACACAACATAGATGTATTTCACTGTACTCTAATTACAACATACACCATTATCTAATGTTAATGCCGCTCTCACGCTGTAAACACATGTCCTTTTTGTGATCTGTTTAGTTTCACGTTGTTTGCATTTTTATGTGTTTCATTGGTGGTTTTGCTGTTGAAAATGGCCCTCAAGTGTCGCGCTGAAGTGCTGGCTAGCATTCCTAAGCATTCCTAAGCATAAGAAGGCTGCAATGTGCCTTACAGAGAAGATACATATGTTAGATGAACTTTCTTCAAGCCATGACTTCAATATGACTGAATCAACAATATATATATATATATATTTTTTTTCTTTTCTCTCTTTTAAAGATTTTTATTGGGGAATTGTTGGATGGGAACAGTGCTGGGGAATTGGGGGAAGGGGAACAGACAAGTTGCTGTCCCTTTGCTCCTCAGTCCAGTTAAGGAGGACGTCGCCCCACCGGCCCAAGTTGGCACCATCACTGCGCTCTTCCCGGAGGAGGCAGATCATCGCTGGCCCCTGGACGGCTGCTCATGGCGGCTGCTGGCCGCTTACGCAGGCTGCCGGCTACACACGGCAGCCCATGGCAACCCACTGCAACAGGGGCTGCAGCCTACGCCGTTGCTGGTGACCCACAGCAGCCCAGCTCCAGGTTGAGCTCTGTTGTTCAGCATCTTAACTGTGGAGGGCAGTGTCACTGGCCCTCATATGTGGGATCCGAACCGGGGCCCTCTGGCGTCCCAAGCCAACTCCCAACCAATACGCCACTCAGCTGGCCCTCAACAATATATTTTAAATAAGGCATCTTTAAGCAGAAACACACATGAAACCAGTTTATGTATTAAATGGTTGATGAAAATATGGTAACCAGAGGCTTGCAGGAACCTGACCCTGTATTTCCGCAGGAGCGGTGATTCGGTATTCACTAGTTCAGTGTTCACAGCGACTTTGTAGAACAGAACTACCGTGGGTAACGAGAATCAACTGTATATGAAAAGAGTTCATCTAGACTTATTTAGACATAGATTTGTATCAAAGACCACTCCTGAGCAAACTTTAAAAAGGAAGCTGTAAATATAATAAATTGGCCAAGGCACCCCTAAGACTTTCACATTCAGAATACAAGTTGTCTCACTTGTCTTTTGATTCACATTTGTCCATGTCTTCCCACTTTCCCCACAGCTTCATTCTCTGTGTTGTCAAGAACTTTGGGATGTAGTATTTCCTGAAAGATCCTATAATATAACCAAAGCCTTTGGTTGTGGTGCGCTACAATGGCTTTTAGTAAAACCAGCCTAATTTGATTTTGCTTTGGACATCACCAGGTCTGATTCATCCCTTCCCTCAACCACCCCCATGTGGTTTCTGGTGGTTAAAATCTTGCTCCATTATTGTCTCCAGGATTTTCTTCTGAGTCATAGACACCCTTCAGCAAGCTTTTAAAAAAAGCTGTATGTTATACATATAATGTTACAATGTTATACATATGATAAAATGCACAAATCTTAAGTGTACAGCTTGGTGAAATTTTATGTATGCATATGACCATATAATTGCAGCCTAGATCAAGGTATAGAACTTTTCTAGCATTTGCTGGAAACTTCTGGATTTTTCTAGAAGTTGTTCCACATTCCCAGAGAAGGACAACTACATCCCACCTAAGTGTAAGGAAGTGTAAGATGCCATTGACTTTAAGATGCAAGCAAACATGTATGTCTTCATAGATCTATGACAGAAGAAAGGAAAACATCTAGAAAATATTCAAGTTCCCTCTGACCACCTCCCTGTAATTCTTGTCCCTCCCACCACTGCCTGTGAAAAACACTTTGGTCAGGGTCTTTTTTTTTTTCTTCTTTAAAAAAAATTTTTTTTGGAGGGGGTAACAGCCATGGTCATGGGCTACACATTGCTTTCATGCTACAATGGCATAGCTGACTCCTTTAGGAAGGGCGCAGCTCAGAGTGGCAATGCGGGAATCAAACCGGCAACCTTGGTGCCATCAGCACCACGCTCTAACCAACTGAGTTAACCGGTTACCCCAATCAGGGTCTTTTCTGAGTGTATATATACATATTTATTTGTACTCAAGGATATAGCTATAAAATACATTTTATTTGTATACAATACATATAATTTTAAAATATAATCTAATATAGTTATATATGATATAATATAGAAAATATGTATGTAATATAAAATATACATAAGTATGTAATTTTTATTGTGATAAAATATACATAATATAAAATTTACTTTTTTTTTTCTAGCTGAGCCATCCTGCCACCTGTTGGCAGCTCAGCGGCAGCTCAGCTCAGACTGGGAATTGAACTGGTGACCCTGTTGCTCAGAGCTCACACTCTTGAGTGAGCTCTTAACCAACTGAGCCACTCGGCCGGCCCTTAAAATTTACCTTTTTAAGTGTACAATTTAGTGGTATTAAGTACATTCACAATGTTGTGTAACCATGGCTACTATTTCCAGAACTTTTTCATCATCCCAAACAGAAACTCTGTACCCATTAGGCAAAACATCCCCATTCTGTGTCTATGAATTTGCCTGTCTCAGATTTTTTATGTAAGTGGAATCATACACTATTTGTCCTTTTGTGTCTGGCTCATTTCCCTTTGCATAATGTTTTCAGGGCTCATCCATGTTGTATCCCGTATCAGAACTTCATTCCTTTTTATATTAACATTCCATTGTATGGATAGACTACATTTTGGTTGTCCATTTATCTGTTGATGGACACTTGGGTCTTGGTAGTATTTTTAAAAATCTCAGATGGGATCGATAGACATATCTGTTGTGCACCCAGCCTTTTTTACTTGGCAGTATACTTTGGTGCTCACTCTGTCAGTAATATAGATGTACCTTGTTGTTGTTTCTTTAAAGATTTTATTGGGGAATTGGGGAAGGGAACAGTGTTGGGGAAGGGGAACATTGTGTTTTTCCAGGATCCATCAGCTCCAAGTCAAGTTGTTGTCCTTCAATCTTAGTTGTGGAGGGTGCAAGCTCAGCACCAAATACAGTTGCTGCTTTCAATCTAGTTGCGGGGTGCGAGGGGGGACGTGCAGCCCACCACCCTGTGCGAGATTCGAACCAGCAACCTTTGTTAAGAACACAAGCTCTCGGGCCGGCCAAGTGGTGTGTTGGTTAGGAGTTGACTTGGGATGCCAGCTCTGAGCATCAGGGCCCTGGTTCGGATCCTACATTAGGGCCAGTGACACTGCGCCCTCTACAGCTAAGATGGTGAACAACAGCTCAACCTGGAGCTGGGCTGCCGTGAGTCGCTGGCGGTGGCAGCGTAGGCTGCAGTGGAGCTGCAGTCTGCTGCCATAAGCTACCGTGAGTGGCTGGCAGCCGGTGTGAGTGGCCAGCAGCTGGCATGAGCTGCCAAGAGCCGCCATGAGCAGCCATTTAGGGGCCGGCAACCGATCTGCCTCACCAGGGCAGAGCACAATGATAATATCAACATGGGCCAGTGAAGCGACGTCCTCCACAACTAAACTGAAGAACAGAAGGACAGCAACTTGTCTGTTCCCCTTCCCGGATTCCCCAAAGCTGTTCCCTCCCCCAATTCCTCAATAAAAATCTTTAAAAAAAAACAAAAAACACAAGCTCTCACCAGCTGAGCCATCAGGCAGCTGGTTCGCAGCTCAGCTGGGGCGCAGCTCTCTGGCCCATGGGGGAATCGAACCGGCAACGCTATTGCTCAGAGCTCATGCTCTTAACCAACTGCGCCACCCGCTGGCCCTACCTTGTTGTTTTTGAAACCCATTGGCCCTATCTTGTTGTTTTTGACAGCTGCGTAGTATTCCATAGCGTTAAGTATAGCATGATTTAGCTAAGTGACTGCCCCCACTGATGGACTTCTAGGTTATTGATGGTTACTGATCATGACGGCCGCCTTCACTGAGCTCCACCCTCCCTGGACATAGCAAAGTCTTGAGGGGCTCGACCCTCCCACCCCCTACCTTGGCCCCAGCACCCCAGCTGTGTGTCTTTCTGCCGTACTCCCAGGTCAGTGACTGGTGGGAAGAGTTTGTGTACCTGCGCTCCCGGAACGCTCTGATGGTGAATAGCAACTACTATATGATGGTGAGAAGGGGAGAAGGGGGCTTGGAGCTGGAAGGGGGGTGGGGCTCGTAGTTCCCGGGTCTAAGATTGGGGTGTCTGGGTAGAATGTGGGGTTTAGACTCAGTGATCCAAATCACAGTCTGGAATTCACCATCCTGCCCTCTGTTGGGGTCGGTACCTGTATTTGGTGTCAGTGCCCACACAGCGGCAAACTTGACCCCAGGCGTTTTGCTGTCCCCTTGGCTGGCCCCCAGGACTTCCTGTACGTGACGCCCACGCCGGTGCAGGCTGCTCGCGCGGGAAACGCGGTCCACGCCCTCCTCCTCTACCGCCACCACTTGAACCGCCAGGAGATACTGCCAGTGAGAATGCTGCGCCTGTGGGCTGGGGACAGAGGCTGTGGTTCTATAGTTGTGGGTACACTTGGGAGAGGAGGGGGATTCACGAGCCCATGGTCTCCTGCAGACTTTGTTGATGGGAATGCGGCCCTTATGCTCTGCCCAATATGAGAAGATATTCAACACCACACGCATTCCTGGGATCCAGAAAGGTGAGACCCCTCTCCCCTCCTCACTGACAGAAGAGGAACAGTGTAGGGACTAAGAGCATGTTCTCTGGAGCCAAACTATTTGGATTCGAATCTCAGCTCCATCGCTCCCTAGCTGTGTGACCTTGAGCAAGTTATTACCCTCTCTGAGCCCCAGCTTCCCCATCTCTAAAATGGAATAATAAGGGTGCATAGGGTGGTGAGGATTAAATGAGTGCTTAGACAGTGCAAGCCATGTAGGAAGTACCTAGTAAGTGGTCGCTATTCTTAGTATAAAGTTCCCGATCTTCCTGTCCACGTTTCTGCCCACACCACTCCTAGACCACATCCGCCACCTCCATGATAGCCGACATGTGGCGGTCTTCCACCGGGGCCGATTCTTCCGCGTGGGGACCCACTCCCAAAGCGGCCTGCTTTCCCCGCGTGCCCTGGAGCAGCAGTTCCAGCGAATCCTAGACGACCCCTCACCTGCCTTCCCCCACGAGGAGCATCTGGCAGCGCTGACCGCTGCTGCTCCCAGGTGAGGCTGGGAGGTCAGAGGCCAACTCTGGAAGTTTCAGAAGGGCAGAGTTGGGGGCCTGGTGGAGGCTGGGCAGGGTGGAGGGCTCAGGCACATCCCCCAACAGGGACATGTGGGCCCAAGTGCGGAGGTCCCTGAAGACCCAGTCGGAGGATGCCTTGGAGGCAGTTGAAGGGGCTGCTTTCTTTGTATCACTGGATTCGGAGCCCAAGGGGCTCACCAGGGAGGACCCTGCAGCTTCCTTGGATGCCTACGCCCATGCCCTGCTGGCTGGCAGGGGCCATGACCGGTGAGTCAGCCTGGGGACTTGAACTCCACCCCAACTTGCGACCAAGAACCCAGTATCCAGACATAAGACTCTGGGCACTAGACAGGCAGACCCTGGACCCTAGACCTGGGCATCTCCAGATCCACGGGACCCTTTGATCTGAGGACCCCAGACCCAATGCTTTGAGATCTGAGGACCTCTAATCCAGAGAACCCCTAGGCCCAGGACCCCAGACCCTGGAACCCCAAACCTCAGACATGGACCGTCAGACCCAGAGACTCCCAGAGCCAGAAACGCAAGCATGGGGACCACAGACTCAGAACCATAGAATCCTCAGACCTTAATGCCGGCACCTTAAATCAGGACCCCAGACCTGGGACCCCTAGACCTAGAGATCCTCAGACAACTTCCTAAATGCCTTCTAAGCAGTATGCTGATTGCTGAGCCCCCTGGGAGAGTCTCCCTAACCTCCCAGCATCCCATAAACCTTAAACCGTTCTCGGCATGTTGTTTGAATACCTCCAGCTCTCCAAAAGTTTAGACACGTCTCAGAGGCTGCCCAGAGCTGCCTGGAGACTCCACCCTCTTAGAGACCCCCATACCAGCCCTAATTCCCAGAAAAATCTCCCCACCCTGAAACCCCCACAAGTCCTTTAGAGAACACCCACTTTCCCCTGGCCCCCGCTCTTTGGTGACCACTCTGAACTCTCCCCTCGCAGCTGGTTTGACAAATCCTTCACCCTCATCGTCTTCTCCAATGGGAAGCTGGGCCTCAGCGTGGAGCATTCATGGGCCGACTGCCCCATCTCAGGACATATGTGGGAGGTAGGGCAGCCAGCCCATCCCCTGCCTTGGGGACTGCCACCCCCATTTCCAAAGGCCTTCCTTTCCGGGGCCTTAGGGTCAAAGGAAAAACGGAGCCTCAGAGAAAGGTAGAGATGGGACCAGGACCACCCAGCAAAGAAGGGGGGTCTGAGATTATGACCTTCCTTTGATGAATGAGCAATTGGGGCTCAGAGAAGGGAGGTGATTTGCCAAGTGTCACAGAGCCAAGAGTTGCAGAGCAAAAATATGAATTGGGAATGCTCTGAGACCAGAAAGTGAGGCCTCTCAATCATGTCACGTTGAATTGGAACCATCTTCTAGCTCTGGCTGGCTGTGTGACCTTGGGCAAGTTACTCCCCTCCTCTGAGCCTCAGTTTTCCCCTTCATCAGGGGAAAGATTGGAGGACCTTCACGTCTCTATTTTATTTAGTCCCTAAATCATAGGGGGTGGTGTCTGCATCCCATAGGGTTCCCAGTGGTCGGATGGGGCTCAGGGTGGGGACTGGGCATGTGTGAGGGGAAGGAACCTCAAGGACAGCCCGTCAGCATTGTCTCTTCTGTACCTGTTTCTTGTTTGTAAAATGGGAATTTTCCCCCTTTGATTATATTGGTAAATGAAGCTCTCAATTCAATTCAACCTCAGATCCTTCTGGCACTTCATGTCAACATACCTCTTCATATCAACTTATCAACAACTTAAGAGATGTCACGTACAGTAAGATAAAGAGAAATGCAAGGCTGGAAGGTAGTAGGTTCTCAATCAGGGCTGATTTGAAATATTTAGCAATATTTAAAATATTTAACAATAATAAAAAAGCAAGATGTGGGCCCCACTCAATCAGAGTGAATGCTGAGGCGCTTGGGGCAGCCATTGCTGGCTCTTTATCTACGTGTCGGAAGTACAGGGTCAGTAAGCAACCGTTGAGTATTAGTATCAGTCCTGCTCTCAATGAACTTGAACCTGAGAACCCACCTGTGAACGCCAGGGGTTTCTGCTTCTTAGGGACTGCCCTCCACCCCGAGAAGGGCCTGATATAGAGGTCCCTGGTTAGATGGCTCTTGGACCACAGGGAAGAAGGGACTCTGACAGCCTCCATTTGTACACAGTTCACTCTGGCCACAGAATGCTTTCAGCTGGGCTACTCAGCAGATGGCCACTGCAAGGGCCATCCTGACCCCTCACTGCCCCAGCCCCAGCGGCTGTACTGGGACCTTCCAGACAAGGTAAGGCTGGGTTTCCGGGCCTCTCCTCCAAGTCCCCAAATTCCTGGCTTTGACACTATATAAACTTATTGCTGCCCCCAATCTCACCATCCCAATCCCAACTCTAACCCTAACCCCATCACCAATGCCATCCCCATCCCCAACCTCAATTCAGGCCGACCCCAACTCAAATCCCAGCTCCCTTCCCCCCCCCCCCCCCCAAACTCATCTCTATCCCAACACCATCACCATACCTAAATTCAGTCCGGTCTCCAACACCAGACTCATCTGAAACCCCAGCCCTAATTCCATCCCATCCCCAGCCCAAACACCAACCTTGTCCTATCCCCAACCCCAACCACATCCTGACCTTCAATGCCATCCCTGTCTCCATCATTAACCTAATCCTTCAGCTTCATTCCCTTCTTTGTCCACATTTCCATTATCTACCCCAACCCTAGCTCCATTCCCCTCTCTGCCTCCAGTCCCATTCCCAGCTCTAACCCTACCCCCATCTGTAACCCCGGCTACTCCTTCCTCTCTCCTGCTCTGGAAGATGCATCTATTCATCTCTCTGGCCCTGAGGGGAGCCAAGACCTTATCTGGAGACATCGACTGCCACGTCTTCCCCTTCTCCCACTTTGGCAAGAGCTTCATCAAACGCTGCCACCTCTCTTCAGACAGCTTCATCCAGATGGCCTTGCAACTGGCCCACTTCCGGGTCAGTTGGGTTTCCCGACCCCAGCCCCTCTCAGGACCTCGGTTCCCTGGTCCCCCAATACCTGCCTCGTCAGCCCCTTTCCTGACTCTTCTTGGCCACTGTAGGTCTCCCACCTTCATTTCTCTCTCCCAGCCACATATTCCTGAGGGGGAGGAGGCTGGGGGTCCAGAGGTGTGTCAAGTCTGTTAAGACCTCCAGAGCCCAGCTGACAGGCTCCTCTTCTCTTTGTCCCCCAGGACAGGGGTCAATTCTGCCTGACTTATGAGTCAGCTATGACCCGCTTGTTTCTGGAAGGCCGGACGGAGACGGTGCGGTCTTGCACGAGGGAGGCCTGCAACTTTGTGAGAGCCATGGATGACAAAGAGAAGACAGTGGGTGTGGGCCTCATTTGAGGCTTCTGTTATTTCCATGCCCTCACTGATACATTTGCAGACATTTATGGAGCACCCTCTGAGGGCCAGGCCCCATGATGGGCACTAGGAACAGGAAGGAACCAGGCCTGGTCTCCGACCTCAAGGAGCTCACTGATGGGGGGGAGACAGATAGTTCAGCATAGTGTGATACATGGGGGTCACACAGGGCACTGGAGGAGCACATAAGAGGGAGCCCTGGTTGCACAATGTAGCTCTCTTTGATTATTTAGCCTCTATGTGACCTTGTGACTTCTATTTGCACCATTCCTCATGTTCCCTGTATGACCTCTCTGCTCAGAACCCCCCAGGCACCTCTGTTCCTTCTCCCCCCCTACCATGTGGTTCAATGGAAGGAGTTTCAGGAGAGTGAGACAGACCTGGGAACCCATCTGATTCTGCTTTACTGTGTGCCCCTGAGCAAGTGACTGTCCCTCTCTGAGCCTGTTTCTCCTCTATAAAACAGAGTTGCTATCTCTGCCTTGCAGGGATGTTGCAAGCTGGGTAGAGGCCAGGGGTGTGTCAGGCCCCAGCAGTAAGCCCACTTCCTATTTTTCCATGACCTGTGTGACCTCCCTGGGGGCCCCAGGACCCACAGTGCCTCACCCTATTCCGCTTGGCGGTGGATAAGCACCAGGCTCTTCTGAAGGCAGCGATGAGCGGACAGGGGGTCGACCGCCACCTCTTCGCACTCTACATCATGTCCCAATTCCTCCACCTGCAGTCGCCCTTCCTGGACCAGGTTGGGGTGTAGGGAAAGGGTTAGAGAGGGCAGTGGGAAACCATGGGGAAATGGAGGCACTTGAGGGCAAGGAGGATGATGTTGGGAAAAGGAGGTCTCAACAGAGGAGAGAGTTAGGGATTGGGGGGCAAAAGAGAAAAAGAGAGGGCAGAGGGAAGGGGAAGAGGGGTGTAGTCGTTGAAAGAAACGGGAGGGGCCGGTCAGAGAGAAGAGAGGGGCGGGGTCATGGGAGGTCGGGGCGTGGTCAAGTGGAGAAGAGCAGTGTGGTTAGGGAGGGGAAGGGCAGAACTGCAGACTAGGGCCGATTTAGGGGAAATGGGCAGTCAGGGGAGGAGGTCAGAAAGGACCAGGGCTGTGTGGAGTGGAGTTGAGCCAAGGGGGCACAGACCTGCGGGTCTGTCTTTATTGCACACGTGACCTGACCATCTCCTGTCCCTTAGGTTCACTCGGAACAGTGGCAGCTGGCCACCAGCCAGATCCCTGTTCAGCAGGTCCACCTGTTTGACGTCCACAATTACCCCGACTACGTTTCCTCTGGTGGTGGATTTGGGCCTGTGAGTGGGACTGGGCCAGACCAGCTCTCTGGACCCTGGGCCCTGAGAGGAGGGGGCTGGCACCTGCACAGTGGAGGAGGAGGGGACCTGGGACTCTTTTATTCCCCTCACTCTGTCCCTTTCCAGGTCGATGACCATGGTTATGGTGTTTCTTACATCTTCATGGGGAATGACACGATCACCTTCCACATCTCCAGCAAAAAATCAAGCACAAAAACGGTGAGATACACCCCGCCCCTCCTTCCTTAGGGCCCAGGAGTCTAGACTCCTAGCTCCCTTCCAGCTCCCTCCTCTTCTACAACCTAAGAATCCAGACTCCCAGTCCCCTCCTGCGTCACAGCCCCAGAGTCCTGGTCTCCATCCCCCGCCTCCCTCAGACCCAGGAGTCAGAGACCTCAGCTCTTGTTTCTCAGCCCGCAGGAGCCCTTCTCCCAGCATCCCCTGAATGTGACCCATTTCTCCTTCCAGGACTCCCACCGGCTTGGGCAGCACATCGAGGCAGCACTGTTGGACGTGGCCTCCCTGTTCCAGGAGGGGCAACATCTTAAGCGAGGATGCAGAGGGCTAAGGGAGGAGGACTCCGGGCACAGGACTAGCTCTCTCCCTTGCCACACTAAGGGCTCCAGGGCATCCATGACACCCAACAACTTTTGACCCCTTCCATCAGGGAGCTGGTCTCCCTAGAAACTAGCTGGAGGGCTGGGCTGGTATAGGACAGAGGCAGTCTGTTTGCATTTGGAAATCTCACATCTAGTCCAATAAAGATGTGTGAGCTGGGTATGTGCTATTGCTGTGCTCTTGGGCTGGGCAAGGGTGGAGGGGGAGAAAAGGTCCCATTCATCCCCGGGCCCAACCAGAAATTCCCAGTTACCTCCAGTGCCCTTGGCACTTTTTGTTCATCCAATCTGATTAAAGTGATACCATTGATAGAGTGAATTAATGTGGTGTTTCTCCCACATAATAGAAAATATTTGCAAATCATTTATCTGATAAGGAGTTAATATTCAGAACTCTTGCAACTCAACAACAACAGAAAACTCCAAACAACCCTATTCAAAAATGGGCCAAGGACTTGAATAGACATTTCTCCAGAGAGGATATACAAATGGCCAATAAGCACATGAAAAAAGGTTCCTGGTGGTTGCTAGAAGCTGGGTGGAGGGAGGAATAGGGAATGAGGAGGTTTTGTTTAATGGGTATAGAGCTTCTGTTTCAGGATGATGAAAAGTTCTGGAAATAGATAGTAGTGATAGTTACACAACATTGTGAATGTAATTAATGCCACTGGATTGTACACTTTCAATCCCCAAAATAATATTTTGAATAATTTCACTATTGGTTGCTTTATGATGATGACATATTTGTCAAATGTTATTATATATGAAGTTTTAATGTTTGTCATCTTTTTAATCTTCTTTCAGGACTACACTGATTACTGTTACCTTAAATTTTAATCTATTGGCTTTACATCTTATTTTCTATAGAAAAAAAAATCTTTCCTTCTTTCATCTATTTATTTCTTCAGAAGATCTTTAGAATAATTGGGTTAAATCTTTTAAAAAATAATCTCATTGGGATTTTGATTGAATTTGCATTAAAACCACAATGTAATTTGGATAGACTTAATATCAGCACAACATTCAGACTAGCTATCCAGGAAAATAGTCTCGTGTATTCAAGTACTCTTTCAAAAATATATTTGGGCCTTAGAGGTACAGAATTGGATTACTCATCATCGCTGGTCCTTGGCACACTCTACTGTTAAGTGTACCAGTTATGAAGTTATTATCGCTTGTATTCGAATCCACTCCCTTGAACTAAAAGCTTTGCCAATCTGAGATTGGGACTCTGAAAACCACACTTCCGCTTTGCCCACCGGTTGTGCTAGATGCTGCCAGTAAGGGGCACCAAAGGAACTGCAGACTCCTGGAGGAAGGGAAAGGGACTCGCTCCTTCCTGTTTGCTTATTTCCGGTCAGTTTCTTGTCCTCATCAGTGTCACCCAGCGCCGCTTCATCATCCCAGCTGAGGCAGTTTCTTACTGTAGCAGCTGGTAAATCTAGTTTGCAGTTTTTCCAAATTTTGCACACCCTCAAAGATGTCTGCACCACTTCACCAGCACCTTTCCTGAGAAGGTGCCAGTGCCTGGTGGTCCTCGGAGCTCAGGCACTGAGCAATGCCCCCTCCCCATTGAGTTTCATTTCCAGTGAGCCTCTCATCCAAGCGTTTAGCTTCAGTAATTCTAAACTTTATCATTTGTTTTTCCTGCCCCAGGGGTTGTACCTGCTTCCTGTAGTGATTCCCACCATGATGCCATAGAGTTCTCTTTTTGCTTTCTCAGTTACCCAGTAAGCAACACTTTATGCCTAAATACAGCCGCCCACCCTTATCCACGGGGGATAATTCCAAGACTCCTAATGGATGCCTGAAACCCCAGATAGTACCGAACCCTATATATACTATGTTTTTTCCTATACATACTTACCTATGGTAAAGTTTAATGCATAAATTAGGAACAGTAAGATAATAACTAATAAAATAGAACAAAAAGGACAATATACTGTAATAAAAGTAATGAGAATGGCTTTGGGGCCATTAAGTAAAATAAGTGTTCCTTGAACACAAGCGCTATGATTCTGCCACAGTTGATCTGATAACCGAGACAGTTACTAAGTGACTAATGGACAGGGCATGTATACAATGTAGAAACGCTGGACAAAGGGATGAGGCACGGCCCAATCGGGACTGAGCTGGGCTGAATGAGATTTCATTCACAATACTTGGACTGGTGCCCAATTTAAAACTTAAGAATTGTTTATTTCTGGAATTTTTCATTTAATATTTTCAGACTGCAGTGGACTGCAGGTAACTGAAACTGTGGAAAATGAAACTGCAGATGGGGGGGGTTTACCGGTACAATTTCTTTTTTTTTAATTTAGATGATTTATTTTAGATTACTTTTATCCATATATTTTGACTTAATATAACTTGCAGATTGTGTCACTTATTCTTTACATTTAACAGTGAAAAATAACTAAAACTGAATAGCAAATACTTTATTAGGAAGTACATGGTCTCAATGGCAATAACAAATTCACCTGAACAGNACACACACACACACACACACACACACACACACACACACACACACACACCACATGCTCATTCTTTCTCTCCAGGCACTGGAGAAGTCTAAACAGATCCTGTTTTCTAGACACAAGCACACACTATGTACCAGGCCAAGCACATACACATATTTTCTCTTTATTCCTCATAGACTCACCTCTTGAGGTTATTCTGCAAGTGAGGCAAATGAGGCGCAAAGAGAGGATGCCCCTAGTACTTGTGGGTACACAACACATGAGGTGACCTTGTCAGAATTTTAAACCCAGAGCCTTTTAAAAAATATCCTTTTTTTTTTTTTTTAAGCTGAGCTATCCTGTTACCTGTTGGCAGCTCAGCAGCAGCTCAGCTCAGGCCAGGACTCGAACCGCTGTTGCTCAGACCTCACACTCTTGAGCGAGCTCTTAACCAACTGAGCCACTCGCCAGCCTCCCCAGAGCCTTTTTTTAAACCATAGCACCACATGGCCTCTCATCCTCGTTACCTTTTATCATCATAAAATGCTTTGTGATTCCTGCCAAACTGGCTTAGGAGAGATGCATGCAGCAGGATCCACTCTCATTTCTTCCACATATTCAGAAGTTAGCCTAGCACATGACTTCTTAGCCAAAGACCACATTTCCCAGGCTTCCTTGCAGCCAAGTGTGTTCATGTGACTAAGTTCTGGCAAATGGAATGTGAGTGGGAATAATGTAGACAATTTCTGAATCATGCCTTTAATAAAGGAAAGGAGGGAGAATGTCCCCATTTCTTTCTTCCTACTGGCTGGAATGCAAAGTTGATGGCATAAGGCAGAGTAGCCATCTTAGGCCATGAGATGGAGGACACGACAAAATAGAAGAAGCTTGAATCCCAACACTGTGGAGCCATACATGATTCCAACCATTTATGAAGACTTTTACACACAAGAGATAGCATTTTCCATCTTGTTTAAGCTATGCTATTTTGTGTCTCTTTGTTACAGCAGCTAAATTTGTGACTCAACAGTTGAGCCACCAGAACACAGGAGCCTGCTGCATTTGAAGAGCAAAACTGCTATACTTGTTGAGGCTTTTATGTGAGAAATAAACTATCCTGCGTAAACCAGTTACTTTGGTTTCTCTCACAGCTGCTGAACTAATACACAAAAAGAAAAGCCAGAACAAGTTTCCTCCATTGTAATAAGGAGACAACAACACATTTCTTACATGATTGCTCTGGGAAACAAATGTGATAAGAAATATTGTATTAAGGTGACATCAGCAAAATGGTGGAGCCAGGAACCCCAAGATTCCACCCCTTCATAAAAACAATGAAGAAACTGGCAAAAAACAGTTAAGAGTCATTGAGAAGATACAACAATTATAAATATTGGGTTGTCAGAAAAGTTATGAGGTATTTTGTCTATGTTTTTCAAAGGTCATTTATTTATATAAAGAACAAAGATCAATCAATAATATATTGCCTGTTTTGTTTAATAACCTTTTGCCATCTTTCAATAAGCTTCATAATCCCTCATTCATAGAAGGACCTGGTTTTATTTGCAAAAACTGAACAAGGTGCTGATTTACAGCCTCATCTGAATTGAACGTTATACCATGCAAGGAGTTTTGAAGAGAGTGAAACAAGTGGAAGTCTGATGGCACAAGGTCAGGCGAGTATGGTGGGTGTGGCAGCAAATCCCATCCAAACTCCAATAATTTTTGATAGGTGATCAAACTTTTGTGTGGTCTCGTGTTGTTGTGATGGAACACAACTCCTTTACAATTAACAAGCTCTGGACATTTCTGGATGATGGATTCATTCAAACTGTCCAATTGCCGACAGTACACATTCGAATTGATTGTTTGGTTCCTTGATAGGAGCTCAAAAAACACGACACCTTTAAAATCCCACCACACTGAGAACATAACCTTCCTTTGATGAATGTCTGCTTTCGATGTCGTTTGAGGCAAATCATCAGGTCGGGACCAAGACCATTTGTGCATCACATTGTTGTAAACAATTCACTTCTCATCAGCAGTTATCAGTCGCTTCAAAAAAGGATCGTTTTTCTCATGTTTAATGAGCATATTGCAGATGTTTATACGCACTGTCATATGAACTTATTTGAGTTCATGCGGAACCCAAATATTGAGCTTGCTTACATATCCCAGCTTCTTCAGGTGGTGGTGAATGCTTGAATGATGGATGTTCAATGTTTCTGCAATCTCTTGTGTCATGAAACGTGGGTTTGACTCGATCAATGCCTTTATTTTGTCATCAACTTTGGTGGGCCTCCCTGACCGAGGAGCTTCATTGAGATCAAAATCACCAGCATAGAATTTCGTGAACTATCATTGGCACTGACATTCTTTTAGAGCATTGTCTCCATAAACTTTATGCAACTTTTCACAGGCTTGACGCATGTTCTTCTCTTTATGGAAGTAAAACAGTAAAATATGGCAAAAATGTACAGTTTGGTCTTCCACCTTCAACTTGTAAAATCTCCAAAATTCAACCAAATCTCTCGTTTTTTTTAGAATGAAGGTGTCAGCTGTCAAATCACATAGCAATAACATAGATGCGAATGACTCTAGTACTTCCAAAAATGAACTAGTGCCATCTGTCGCAAACGTGTAATGACTTTTCTGACAGCCCAATATGAATGCATCTAACAGAACTTCAAAACACATGAAACAAAAAACTGACAGAATTGAAGGGAGACATTGACAATTCAAGAGTAATTTTTGGAGACTTCAATACCTCATTTTCAATGACGAATAGAACAACTAGAGATAAGATCAGCAAGGAGACAGAAAACTTGCTCAACACTATAACCCAACGAGACCTAACAGACATCTATAGAACACTCCACATAACAATGGCAGGATATACATTTTTCTCAAATGCACATGAAATGTTCTCAAAACAAGTCTCAATAAATTTAAAAGGATTGAGATGCTACAGATTGTTTTCTGACCTTGATGACTTCAGTAGAATGAACTTAGAAATAAATGGCAGAAAGAAATTGAGGAAACTCACAAATATATGGAAATTAAACAACACACTCATAAACAACCAATGGGTAGAAGAATAAATCACAAGAGAAATTATAAAATATTTTGGGATGCAGGAAAATGAAAACATTCCAAAACTTATGGGATGCAGGGAAAACAATACTTTGAGGAAAATGTGACTGTAAACACCCACATCAAAAAACGAAAGAACTCGGGCCTGCCGAGTGGCGCGATGGTTGAGAACTGGCTTGGGACGCCAGAGGGCCCCGGTTCGGATCCCACATATGAGGGCCAGTGACACTGCCCTCCACAGCTAAGNGTGTCGCCGGCGACTCACAGCAGCCCAGCTCCAGGTCGAGCTGTTGTTCATCATCTTAGCTGTAGAGGGCAAGCGTCACTGGCCCTCAATGTGGGATCCGAACCGCAGCCCTGCTTCTCAGAGCTGGTGCTCCTAAGCGAGCTCTTAACCAGCTGAGCCACTCGGCTGGCCCAATAAATGTGTTTTGATGTTCACTTTTTATTTAACTTTCTTGCTAAACTCACTGATTTTTAAATGATTTATAGGTTCTATTGGGTTCTTTATGATTCTCTATATCCATAATTATGCCATTTCAAAATAATAATTTTCTTCTTTCCCTATCCTTATATTCATTTTGTTTTCTTATTACAATGGTATTAGAATGGGAGTTACCTTTGGGGTAGAAGGAAAGGGTAGTGATTGGGAGGGGACATCAGAGGGGATTTGAGGGTTCTGGTAAGGTGAAGTCTCTAAATCTTGGTGGTTACATGAACATGTCTATTTCATAATAATTCATGGAACTTTTTTTTTTTTAAGCTGAGCCATCCTGCCACCTGTTGGCAGCTCAGAGGCTGCTCAGTTCAGGCCGGGAATCGAACTGCTGTTGTTCAGAGCTCAAACTCTTGAGCAAGCTCTTAACCAACTGAGCCACTCGGCCAGCCCTCATGGAACTTTTCATTTGTGAATTTTTCTGTTTATATTATACTTTTATTAAAAGTTTAAAAATAGCATTACTGCAGTGGTTTAAACTATGTCCACAACTTGACATTCTTTTCACAATATGTCTGCAAATTTTTTGACACACCCCTTGCGTAAGATCTGGACTTTGTGACTTGATTCTAAGGAATATAGAAAGGGGAAATGATAGTATACAACTTGAGAGACTAGGTCATCAAAGGCACTGTTCTCTCTCAGGCTGCTTGCTGTGGGAGAAATTAGCTCTCACGAGAAGCTGAGGCCTCCGGCCAACAGACAGCAAGCAACTGAGGCCTCCAACTAAGAGCCATGTGACTGCACCATCTTGGAAGTGCGACCTCCAGCCTCAGTCAAGCCTTCAGATGAGTGCAGCCGCAGCTGACATCTTGATCACGGACTCATGAGGACCCTGGGCCAGAACCATTTAGCTAAGCTACTCCCAGATTCCTGTACTTCAGAAATTGTGAGATAATATGTTTATTGTTTTAAGCAATTAAGTTTTGGGATAATTTTTTACACAGCAATAGACAATATATCTAGTAAAAATAACCCCCAAAAAATGTTGGTTGGCCAGCCCAAACTGGACCACAGAACCTTATTTCTACCCCCTATTTTGTTTTCAAAGAACTGGACCATTAACAACTCTCTCAAACCAAGATAGCCTGTTGGCTGAGTCATGGCACAGAGGCTGGTGCACGGTGTGCGTCCAATTTAGTAGTCATCTTTTGGTGTCAAAAAGGAGACCAAATTCATGCCAGCATGAGGGGCCATTTATTGCTCATGGGTTGGGCCCCCACGTTTTGGGGGAGTTCCCCCACTGCTTCCTCCCCCCTCAAGTGGCAGGTTGCTGAGTTGATCGTGGATGGAGCACATCTTCAAGTGTAGATAGTCCACAGCGGCCACCTTCTCCCTGTAATAACAGAGAGAGAGGAGTTGGTGCTGGTGGGGCCAGATGCTACAGTTGAAATGGAAGGAGGGGATGACTGAGGCCCAGTCCCGAAGACCTCACCCTCCTCCCATGCCCTCAGCCTCCTTCCTCACTCCGGCTTCATCTTTTCCGTCAGCAGCAGGTTCTTGGCCCGCAAGGCTTCGTCTTGGGCCATCCGAAGGGTGGAGCTCAGGGCCTCTGCCCTGACATGTTTGGCCAAGGCCTGGCGCTCCAGCTCCTGGGGAGAGGAGTGTAGACGCAGCTGGGCTTGCCTGACTGGGCTAGGGGTGGAGGGGGAGCTGGATCGCGGAGGGCAAGGGGCAGGGTCCCATGGGGCCGAGTTCCTCACCCAGGGTATTCCGATCATGCCTCCAACCTGAGACTGACCCCAGCATCCCACAGTACACTGGCCTTCCAAATTCCAATTGTGTGCTAAACCTGTGTCTGTCACACTGTCTGTCCCCTAATGCACTGGCCTTCTATGTCCCAGCAATCACTAAATCAGTATCTATCATACTGTCCCCAAATGCCTGTGAACCATCATGCACTGGATATGTGTCTGGGCCCCAACATTCCATCATTTGGTGACCTTCTACATTCCATAATTCACAAGCCCTCACATCTCCTTATCTGTAGACTAGCATCTCTATTATAATAGTAGTCCTTAGTGCTCTGGTTCTCTATATACCAGAATATACCAGGCCCTATTTCCTATCATGTCATAGTCCCATAGCTCTACCACATCAGTGGCCCATACTCCCTCACTTGTCTGTCTCACCCACTGTAACTTATATCCCATCATACACTAGGCCAATATCCCATAATACATCAGTTCCCTATGTTTCAGAATGTACACAGGCATCAAGTTCCATCAGCTATTGGGCTTGAGTCTGCGGTGCAATGCCCCATGAAGACCTGTGGTTCCATTTCCCTTAATGCACTAACTTATTGTGACCAATAATCTGACCTCAGTGATTCCATATAATGTGTGGCCTCTCTTAAGGTCTCCAGAAAACCAGGTTTATATTCCATGAAGCTGTAGACTGATGTCTGTCTCCTGTGTCCCACAATGCACCAGATCCAGTGCCCCATCATGCTTTGGGCCTAAAGTCCATCACCCAAAGCTCCATAATGAATGACCTATGACTCACCAACCACCAAACTGCTTACACTTCCTCTACCCAAATGCATTAGAGCCCAGTGTTCCCCCAATCCCTACTGCCCACAGCTCAGCCCTTCCCATCCTGCCACACACTAGCAGCACCTTGTACCGGGGGCTTCCCTCCCCCTGCCCTGACAGAAAGGTGGGGCATGGTGGCCCATGGTCCCTGGTACCAGAATCATCTTGTGTAGCCTCTGGCAGCTGGGGCAGGCAGGAGCCAGGCCCCTCTGCTTCACCTCGTCTACTAGCGGGGTCAACGCTCGTTCCAGCAGCTGCTGCAGGGACTCCGTGGACAACTGCTGCCCCTGGCTGGGGAAGGGGTATTCACCAGTTGAAAGAGGCCTAGTGCTATATTCTCAAGATACTCCATGCCTACTTGCCCAGCCTCCACCTAGTTCCTAGTTCCTGTTTCTACTATGCACCCATGCAACATTCCCACCGTGCTCTAGGGCCAACATACAGTGCATCAGATATCTTTTGGTTTCCACGGTGTGGGAATTCCCACAGTGCCTGGGGATTCCCACTCCCAAAGGGCACCAGATAGCCAGCCCTCAGTTCACCAAAAACTCACATTTCCTACACTGCACTAGTTAAACCTGATCCCACGTTGTATTGGAAGTCCTCCCTCTTCCTAATGTGGACCAAGCATGTAATGTATCCCCTGGCTCTCCAATACACCAAGGTCTCACCTTCCCCACGATACACTGAGAAACCCAGAGTTCCACCAAATACTACATCCCAACCTTCTTCCCACATGCACTAGAAATCCAGGATGCTTGAAATGTATCAACTCTCTTGTGTTCCACAAGACACTGACTCCACCTTTTGGGGAGGGAAAAAACATGGCTCCCATAATGCACCAGGACTGGCCCGTCCCACAATGCATGCATGGGGATGCCCTATCTCCCAAAATGAACTGCCTTCCCTTTGTGCCAGTGCCCCATTTTCTTCAATGCTTTGACCTAGAATGCACCTAGAGGCCAGGCCTGGGCCCCTTACCTGGCACAGCGGGCACAGGAACCTTGGGGGATCCGATCCAAGTTCATGGAGAGGTCAGACCCTCTTCGAGAGCTCTGAAATTGCCGCCCCAGCTCCTCCAGAATCGGTTTCACTGGGCCCAGCCCCTCCAGCTCACTCCTCAGTGAAGCCACAGACACCGCTGACCGCTCCACCCTGAGACATGAGAATAACCAGTGCTGCAAGGTCACCTCTCCTAAAGAATATGTCCTGCTAGCAAGGCTGCATCCCAGATTAGAATTTCTGTCTCCAACTCACCGGGAATACTCCCCCATGCCCTGCCCCTCTCTGCTCTGATTGGCCTCTCCTTTTGTGCTTTAAGGTCTGGAATGCCCCTCCTTGTGCTCTAATTGGCTTTCCCTATTCCTATTTGGCTCCTCCCTTTGCCCTTTTAAAGTATGGGACAACTAGTCTCTAATTAGCCCCGCCCCTCAGTCCTTATTAGGGATGGCACACCCCTCCTTACTTTCTAATTGCAGCTTTCTCCTGTCAGTACATGGTCTTGACCTCTCGGCCCCAGCTGATTGATTGGTCCACCCCTAGGCTCCGCTCTCCCACAGCCCTACCCTGCACCTGGGCCCTTACATGGTGCACAGCTCGTCTGTTCGACCCCGCAGCTCCTGCAGGCCCCGTGCCGTCTGCGCCTGCTCTCGCTGTGCTCGCTCCCACTGGCCTAGGAAGCCGTCGAGCCTGCCGCCCAGGCCCCCGAGCAGCCGCAGGACCTCCTGCACGGCCCCCTCCTCCTGATGCCACCGAGCAGTCAGCGAGGACACCTCCCTCCTGGAGGAGCCGAGGTAAGGAACTGGTCAGGGCTAGGTTTGAACTCATCGGCCCCGCCTCGCCAAGACCTCGTCCAAGGCTCCGGACCTACCCAGGCCCCAAATTCTGGAGTCCTGTCCATTTCTTGGAATCCTCTCATGTCCTCTAGAGCCCTGGCTTACCCCCTTTTCAGGTATCCTGGCCCTTCTCTTGTCCTGCCCTCCACCCCCATATCAGCTCCTCCAGACTCTGCCTCCTCAAGGCACTGCTCACCCCAATCCTGCCCCTTGAATTTGGAGACCCCAAGGACCTGCCCTTTCAACTCCTCCCCCCCGCAAAAGCCCGCCCATCTCAACAGACCTCCCACCACTCTTGTACTCAAAGCTCAGTTCCTTGAAGTCCTGCCCTTTGAGGTCACCTCCCGCAGAACACTCCCTCCCAGGTTCTTCGAGGCTCCACCCCCTGGGCCCTGTCCTCGAAGATCTTCCAGGCTCCATCCCCCACCCCCCCACCCCCATCCCACTCACCTCAGCTCCTCAAGGCCGGTAGAGACCTTCTGTAACTCCTGCTCGCTCAGGATGGGGCTTTCCCCTGCCCGGGACCCTATTCCCCGGCCGCCTATGGCCAGGCGTGATCGTGGGGGTTCATTGGGGCTTCCTGGTGGATCAGGACAGCCTGGGGGCTGGGCGGTGGGGCCAGGACCAGAATCTTGCTTGGAGAGACCCTCCTCCAGCTTCTGTTCCAGCATGTGCAGCTCGGCCTCCTGCCTCCGTGGTGTCTCATCCTGCAGCTGCTGTTGGAGGTAGCGCAGCTTCTCCTGGAAGGGGAAGGAGGGCAGGGTTACTGTGTCCAGCCCCTTGCCTCCCACAATCACCTCCACCCCCACCCCAAATCCGCCCAATGAATTCCTGAGATTGGAAAGTAAATGGATGTGGACGATAGGATATTGGGAAGTCTAAGTGGACTGACTCCCACTTGCTGTTTCTGGGGATGTTTGTCCCATTTGAAGGCTAGGTGGAGTCCAACTCACTTTAACCTCCTAATGCCTGCCTCCCTTTCTCCATCCAGCCCTCCACCCCAGCTCTAGTCCTCCAAGGTGTCAAAAAGCAGTCCCTCCTGTTTAGGAAGAACAATTGAAGTTTTTCCAACATTTTGTTGGGAAATGAGTGGGCATGTGGGCAGGATGGGCACTCCCACTCAAAGTCCAACACAAGTCCCTCCCTCAGGGACCTGAATGTGACTGTGCATGGATAAGTATGACTGTGAACACGAAGGGGCAGTGTGGTGGTGGTGGTAGGGAGGGAAGTTCCCCCTGAAGTCTACCTCAAGTACCTCATGCATTTGATCCTCTTACCAAATCCTGGGACCACTCCCTTACCTCCAGCAGGGCCGAGTTCTGCTTCAGGACGTTGGTTTTTATTTCAGCATCTTCCACTGACCGGGTCACCTTCCGGCAGTTCTCCTGGGTTAGAACACCAGGACGGGGACCCTACCTTCCCACTCCAGTCCCGGGTCCCAACCCTTACCCTCTCTATTTCTACACAGGCTCCATCCAACTCCAAATATAAGACACATCCACTTCTCCCTCCACGTTTGCCCTCTGCTTTTTGGTCTGCCCCTTAGGAGCCTGGTTCCCTTGGTTAAAGGGATGGCTTCCTCCTTGGACCTCTCCCATGCTACTTTTCCACTTCCTCCCACCTCTCTTATGTCCACCCACACCATTCCTCCCCACTTTTCCTTCCACCCTCTTCCTACCTCCACTCCCTTGTCCTCAGCCCATTCCTGCCCTCCAGTGGCTCACCTTGAGTTGAGTACAGTACCCTTCCAGTTCTTCCGCCTCTTGCCGCCTTCTTTCTAAATTCTCGCTCAGCACAGAACACTCACTCTGGAACATGGAAGGGAGGAGAAGTTAGCCAGGACCGCAAGGGGACACCCCATGGGGAGGAGAGGCTGGGCCTTGGAAGGTCACTTTTCCTTCTGAGCCTCTACCTCCCCAACTGGGCTATGGGTGCATTGAGTTGTAGGAAGGTTGTAAGTGGGCAACTTGGCCCTGGAGGAAGAGGAAGTATTGGGGCAGGAGGGATCCTCATACCTGCAGTGTCTGCACGTGCTGATTAACCCGGGTGGTCTTTTCCTTCAAGCTGGTGATGGAGTCTTTGGCACGGATCAATCCACTGTTGACCCCACTCTGGGAAGAATGGGAGACAGGAGTGTCATCGGTGTGTGGACGCAAACCCCAACCCAAAGAAAAACTCTAGAACTGGGAGGAGGCTCGGTTTACACCTTGATTCTGCCCTGGAGTGGCTGTGTGACTTTGGGCCAGGGCTGCACCTCTCATTCTTGGTATTCCTGCTCTGTAAAACCAGGGGTGGACTTGTTTTCTGCTTGGTGGATCGGAAGAAAAATCAGTAGGACCAGGAGGGAGTCGGGGTGTGGAGGGAATGCTTAGACATGTGCAGGAAGAAAGATGGTCTCAACCCAAACACTGAGATAAATGCCTTTGGGGTCCACAGACATAAATAAAATAGACTGTTAAAACACATACTCGGGACCGGCCGAGTGGCGCCTTGGTTAAGAGTTGGCTTGGGATTCTAACTCTGACCAGCAGGGCCCCGGTTTGGATCCCACATGAGAACCAATGACGCTGCGCCCTCTACAGCTAAGATGGTGAACAACAGCTCAACCTGGAGTTGGGCTGTTGTGAGTCACCAGCGATGGCTAGGCTGCAGCCCTGCTGCAGTGGGCTGCTGTGAGCTACTGTGAGTGGCTGGCAGCCAGCGTGAGCTGCCATGAGCCGCCCAGCGACTGCCTCACTCGGGANAGTCGAAAGGTTTTTCCCAGAACACCACGAAGCATAGTTCTATGTAGACTCTGCCACCATTGGCCATAGGTCTGTTCTACAATACATTCACTTTTTAGGGTAGCTGCAGGGCTTCCAGAAAAAAAACATCTAAAGCATGTCTCATAGCATATATTGATAATCCATGGTTTCAGGATTCCTGGGTCCCGCAGAAGTCCGCCATCCTTACGTCTGTAACATTTCTTTGTATGAAATCATCTCTGTTAAAATAACTGGTGTGATTTTTGTCTCCTTGGTGTACCTTGACTGACACCAATTATTTGCAATATGAAGCGGATTCTCAAAGATGGGGTTTGGAGAATGGTTTAATTGGTTTTTAGGGATCAAACACAGTGATGAGCTCCTTGACATTGCAAAATGGGATGCTAGTAATCCACAGTATGCAGTGATGGTTAATCATATATTATCATCCATGTTGACTGATGAAGATGCATCTGAAGTGAGTGACTTGGGGGATCAAACAGTTGCTGCCGTTATGGTACTAACAAGGATGGTGGCATTCAGAGGCTTCTTCTGAGGCAGGGGCAGGAGATGGAATGATGTAGTGAGGGAGATGACTCCCTCTTTTCTGCTTCAGGGTGTGTCTCTGGAAGTGGCCACAGCTCTTACTAGACAAGACCTGCCGTGGTTTCTGCTTTTATAAGGTGACCTGAGCCCCTGCTATACAAAATGCCATAGAGCAGGCAGCTTAAACAACAAACATTTATTTCTCACTGTTCTGGAGGCCGGAAAGTCCAAGATCAAAGTACTGGCAGATTTGGTGTCTGCTTCCTGCTTGCAGATGGTTGCTTTCTTGCTGTATCCTCACATTGTGTCTCTTCTCATAAGGGCACTAATCCCATCTTGGAGCCCCACTCGCATGACCTCATCTGAACCGAATTACTTCCTAATAACCCCATTTCCAATTACCATCACCCTGGGGATTAGGGTTTCAACACATGAATGTTGGGGGGACACAAACATATGGTCCATAGCACTCTATAAAATGAGAATGATTTTTCATTCTCTGAGGGGTTTTAAGATCCCCCCTGTGAAGCCACATTAATAAATATCAAACCTATGAGCTTTGAATCTATAAATCAATTGGGGAGAAGTAACATCTTTATAATACCTTAAAAGCCATGTATATGATACAATCCCCCATTTATTGAAGTGTTTAACTTCTTTCAATAATGTTTTTAAGTTTTCTGTAGTGGGAATGGCATGTCTTCACTNGAACAAAACAGCAACTTGTCTGTTCCCCTTCCCCCAATTCCCCAGCACTGTTCCCATCCCCCCAATTCCCCAATAAAAATCTTTAAAAAAACAAAAAAACCCGAAAGAACTCAAAATTAACCTAAACTTCTACCTTAAGAAACCAGAAAAAAAATAGCATACTAAACCCAGAGCTAGCAAAAGATAGGAAATAGTAAAGATTAGAGTGGTAAAAAATGAAATAAAGAATAGAAAAACAGTAGATAAAATCAACAAAATGAGAAGTTTGTTTTTTGAAAAGATCAACAAAATTGAGAAATCTTTAGACCACAAAAATGAGAGAAAAGACTCAAATTACTGAAATCAGGAAGAAAAGAGGAGACATTACTATCAATCTTATGGAAAGAAAGAGGTTTATAAGTGAATTGTATGCCATCAAATTTTTTTTTTTAAATATATATTTTTTTGAATTGGGGAATTGGGGGAATGGGAACAGTGCTGGGGAATTGGGGGAAGGGGAACAGACAAGTTGCTGTCGTTTTGTTCTTCATTCTAGTTGTGGAGGACGTTGCTTCACTGGCCCAAGTTGGCACCATCATTGCGCTCTTCCCGGGCGAGGCACATCTGTTGCCGGCTTCTGGACGGCCGCTCACTGTGGCTGCTGGCCGCTCACGCTGGCTGCTAGCTACACAGGGCAGCCCATGGCAACCCACTGCCACAGGGGCTGCAGCCTACGCCATCGCCGGCGACTCATGGCAGCCCAGCTCCAGGTTGAGCTGCCGTTCAGCATCCTAGCTGTGGAGGGCAGTGTCACTGGCCCTCACATGTGGGATCCGAACCGGGGCCCTCCGGCGTCCCAAGCCAGCTCTTAACCATCGCGCCACTCAGCCGGCCCGCCATCAAATTTGATAACAGATGAAATGGAAAAATCTTTAGGAAAACTCAAACTACCAAAGCTGACTCAAGAAGAACTTAGGACATCTGAATAGATCCATAACAAGAGACTGAGTTAGTAATAAAAAAAAACTTCCAACAAAGAAAAGCCCAATACCATATATCTTCAATCATTTAAAAAAGAATTGCTACCAATGCATCTCAATCTCGTCCCAAAAAATAGAAGCAGAGGGAACAGTTCCTAACTCATTTCATGAGGCCAGTATTACCCTGATACCAAAGCCAAAGACATCACAAGAAAATAAAAACTACAGACCAGTATCCCTTCTGAACACAGTCACAAAATCTTCAACAAAATTCTAACAAAACCAAATCAGCATAATATAAAAAAGATTATATACCATGACCAAGTAGGATTTATCCCAGGGATGCAAGGTTGGTTGAACATACAGAAATTAATCAATGTAATATATCATATTAATAGAATAAAAGGAAAAAACATGATTGTGTCAATCCAGAAAAAAAATTTTGACAAAATCCAACACCCTTTCATGATAAAAAACACTTTCAAGAAACTAGAAATAGAAGGGAACTTTCTCACCCAGATGAAGGGTATCTACAACCCCCCCCCCACACACACACACACAAAACTATGGTGGTTTAAAATATGTCCATACATTCTTTGATGCTTCTTTAAAATGTGAGCCTAGTCCCCTCACTTGGATGTGGACTGGACTTAGTGATGCATACCTAGTAAATAGAATAATGCAGAAGTGATGGTATGTGACTTAAGAGACTAGTTCATAAAAGGAACTGTGACTTCCTGCCTTTTCTCTCTCTCTGGGGAATGACAGCTATCATGTCTTAAGCAGCCACTCATGGAGAGGCCCAGGAACTGAGGCCTCCAACCAAGATCCTTGTGAGTGTGCCATCTTGGAAGCATGACCTCCAGCCCCAGTCAAGCCTTCAGATGACTGCAGCCCCTCCCCAAATCATGACTGCAACCTCATGAGAGACCCTGATCCAGAACCAGCCAACTAGGCCACTCCAGGTTTGTTGTAAGTTTAGGGATAATTTGTTTCACAGCAATAGCTAACTAGTACACAAAGTGATCTTTGAAACTGAAAACCCTGAAGGTCTTGGGGTTCCCATGCATAGCTATTCGGGAAAACTAGGAAAGCAAGTCCTGGGGTCTACTCAGTTCTCCCACTTACTAGCTGAAGGACCCCAGGGAGGGGATTTCACCTCTCTGCCTCTGTTTCCCACCCCGTAAAGTGGAGATGGGACTACTAGCTACCTTCACAGGGCAGCTGTTGGGAGGAAAACAGGCTGGATCAGAAAGGCCCTGGGGTCAATAGTTCTTTGGAAAAGGGCAGCTGGGTTCTTTGGAGGTGAGTTTTAGCTTCACTGAGCACAGATGAGTGGAGTGGTGAAGGCAAAGCCTGTCACGCTTGGCTGAGAAATGAATAGCGTGATAGGGAGCCAGAGACCTGGGAACAAAGCCCTCCTTGGCCACCCACTTGGCAATCCAAATCCCCACTCCAAGCTTGCCTCGGTTTCCTTTCTCATAAAATGGGAATGATGATACCCTGCTCCGATGGCAGTGCAAAGAGTCAGCAGGTATGATCAGTAAGCCAAGCACAGTGATTAGTGTCAGCATTGTTATTGTTAAAAATAAGGACAACAGGGTGGGATCTACCAGGAAGGGACTTAGAGCCAAATGCTCCTAGCAGCCTCAGGGAAATCTGCAGACAGCAGGACCAGTCCCGAGCAGGGGTCAAAGGGCCCCTCCTATCCATCTTTGCCTTGATTCACTGACCTTCCCAAAGTGCAATACCGATTTTTCAGTTGCGTCCTTTGGCCTCTTAAAGATGTCATAGCTTAAAACAAAAGCCAAAGCTGCCTGCTTCATCATTCTCTCATTGACTGTCCAATCTAGGACTTGTCATTCTCTCCATCAGGGTCTCCATGCCCCCTGGTTCTCTGTCCTCTCTCCTGTTGTCTGTCTCACCTCTCTCCCTGGTGTCTGACCCTTTCCTCTCTGGATCTCTCTCCCCCTCCCTGCATCTTTGTCCCCCTTTCCCTGGACCTTTGTCTTCCTCTCTGGGTTTCTGTCCCCTCCTCTCTGCCTGTCTCCAGCTTTCTCTCCTGATGTAGCTCAGATGCTGAGTGCCTGTATGTGGTCTTACTGTCCACCTTCTCACTGCTCCTGCACGTACCCTGAGGTGTTAGCAATCATTACTTCTTTCATTTCACAGAGAAGGAACCTGAAGCCCTGTAGAGGCTGATAATTCCCCTGCAGCCCCACAGCGAGCTGGCAGCAGCATCAGGCCTTGATCCTGGCTGCCCAGGGCTCTTTCTCAGGCATCACAATCCACTGGAGGACGTGACTTAGAAATAGCTCACGGGAGGCAGACCTGTTTAAGTGCTGCCTGAGTGGCGCTCACAGACAGAGGGAGGAAACTTTTCTGGCTGGGGGAGGGGATGTCTCCTTGGCCATCCATCCTGCCAGGACTCTGCCCTGTTCCCTTCTCTCTGTCTGGTCCTCCTACCCTGGACCCTTGCTCAGCCTCCTCTTGGGCCTCACTGCCTTCAGCCTCTACCTTTCAAACATCTCCCACCCAGCCCCAGAGGAGTTTTCTAGGGAAAGAAAGGGCTTTTGCTTTAGTGTTAATCCCACTAGTCCAGGCCCTGCTTCTTACAAGCTCTCTCAACTTGCAGAGGTCACTCCACCTGTCTCAACCTCAGTTATTTTTGTTTTCATCTTTAAACTGGTAATGACACCACTTCCCTTACAGAACTTCTAAGAGAGGAAAACGAGATCCCCACCATAGGGACATGGCACAGTGCCTGGCACATAGTAGGTGCTCAATCAATGGGAGTGGGGACAATACCCTAAGTTACTCCTCTCTCTCCCCTGCCCATGAACCCTCAATGGCTTCCCATTGCCCTCAGAAGAATGCCATTTTTCTCAGCTTGTGTAGCCTGTGCCCTGCCCCTCTCCAGCCTCGTCTCTCTCACACACCACACTTTAGCCACAGGGACAAACTTGCAATTAGCCCCCTTACCTGGGTTCTTTTCAACCCCTGGTCTTTTGCACATATTGTTCCAGCTAGCTGGAACACCCTTCCCTGTCTTCTGCCTGGGGAACAAACACCTTTCTTATCTTTGGGACCCAGCCTGAATGTTGCCTTTTCTGGAAAGTCTTCCTTGACCCTGGCTGGCTGGGCCAAGGCCTCCATTTCCAGGGCTTCCACAAGTGACCTCACTGCCCCATCAATGCAGGGTGCTTCCCACCCCTACCCTAACTCCTAAGCCTGGCTCCACTATGTACAAGCTGCATGGCCTTGGGTATGCTCTTTAACCTTTTGGGGCTTCATTATCTTCATCTGTGAAAGGGGGGGCAAATAATAATAACGATAACTCCCACAACACGTATTCTGTGCTTACAGCTGGCTACTGTGCTAAACATTTTGTATGAATGAGCAATACTTCATTTCATGACAACCTCATGAAGTGGGTACAGTTATATCCAGAACTCTGTCTTGGATGCTGCTATATTTCCTGCTTCTAGACCAGTGCCTGGCACATCATACGCGTTGTAGAAACACATGCATTTCCATTTTACAGATGAAGAAACTGAGGCTCCCCAGAACACGGAAAGTGCTCAGTAAATGCTAGCGAATCTTATTAGCATCATTATGACCATGGTTATTGTTAGCATAATTCTTAGTGTCCACATCAAGCTCAGTTCAGGGTCTGGCCCAGGAGAAGCCTGGCAGGGGTTGATGGGGAGTTAAAGGACAAGCTATAGTACTCAATGCTCTAGTCAGGAATTCTCTAAATTCCCTTAGATCTTGCTCACCTCCAAGTTTTGCCCCAGATTCTTAGCTGAGCCCCGCTGAGAACTCCTACTCATCCATCAAAGCCCAATTCCAACACTGCCTCCTCCAGGAAGCTTTCCTTAATACCTACAGCCTGGTTTAAAGGGCCATTTTCTGGGATCCCCAGTGTTACCTCCATTATGAAGTTTATCACCTCAGTTTGTGCCTGTTGCCCCACCAGACTGGGAGCTTCTTCCAGGCAGGGACCTGGCCTGACTCCTATCTGTGACCCCAGCCTCACCCAGGACATTGGGAAGTGACTGGATGAACTAAAGACCAACTCCCCGGCAGCAGGCATCATTTACCAAAGATGGAACAGGTTCATGGCTGGCTGTTAGGGGAAAAGGAGGCAGTTCCTCTGGGCTTTAAAGGGTGATCAAAACCAAGATAACACCCCCCACCACCCGCCAACTCCTCAGTATTTGCCTACCACCAGGGTGAGGACCATCTCCCCACCCAGGTGCCCCTCACCAGTATTTCTGTGATGTCTGGGTCATCTGGAGCCCAGGGTGGGGTGGAGGAGGTGGGGGGCACAGGCAGTGCCAGCAGGCCACTGTCGTCTGTGGTAGAGTCTGTTCCCGAGGAGTCGGTGGGCTCCATGGCAGCCAGGTTGAGCAGGGACACGTTGGTGCAGGCCGAGGACCGTTTGAGGTTCAGGCACCAGTGCATTGGCTCATGGGACATCCGAGGTTCCACCCTGGGAAGGAGAGACAGGCAGGAGGGTCAGGATATAGCCTCAGTAGAATATGGCCCCTTCTTTCTCCCTGTCTCCACACTCCCTGCTCTCTAATTCCAGCCTTACCTCCTCCTTCCTTCCTTCCTTCCTTCTCCATCCCTGCTGCCTACTTCCTTCTTCTTTTAATGCCCCCCTTCTGATTTTTTCCTTCCCCACTAACTTTTACCTCCTTCCCATTGTCCCCACTCCCTTCTTCCTCGATACCTCCCGCTCTCTTTATTTCTCCTTTCCCATCGCCCTCTTGCCTGCCCCTCTTATGCCCCCTCCTCTCCCTGCTCTCTTCCAGCACCCACGGTGGGACTTCTGCTCTGTTGGAGGCAGTGCTGGGCACTAGGACCATCCCTGACAGGATCCGACAAACCCACCCGTGGAATGACACAGCCTTCTTTTTCTTCGCATTCCCCTTGGCTGGGCTGGTCACCCCCCCAGGAGTCTCAGGAACCAGCTGGGAGTGGCTCTCGACCCCCGCAGGGGGGTCCCCAGCCTCATGGATCTCTTTGGACTGCCAGATTGTCTTCACCACCACACTCGCCATGGCGTGTGGGGGCCCTGCTCCCAGGGGCTCCTTCCTCTGAGACACTCCACCTACTCTGACCACTGACCCTCAAAGTTCCTGTCCCCACAAGCCTGCCTCATAAAGGACTCAACCACTGGGCCTCATTAAGGGGGGGTGGATACAGGGGTAGGGTGAGGTGCTGCTGGCTCAGGACATCCCCCCAGGAGCGTCTCAGTGAACCCTTCATGTCCAGGGTTCTGTTTCTACCCACAATGTATCCCTTGCTTCGGAACTCCATAAAGTTTTTCATTCTAGACTAGAACTTACAATGGATGGGACCACTGGCTCTTGGGAGGGGTCCACCTTCCTTCTCCTGAGGCTAACTGTGAGGTCACCCAGTCCCCAATATTCATACTTGATTCTTCATGCAATCACCTGGGCTTCCACTTTCCCAGGATCTGGAAGATGGTGGTGAATGAGAATGGAGCCCCAGCCCTAGAGGATCTAACATTCTATGGGGAGAGTGGGTGGGCCTGGGAGGGGGCCAGCAAGCAATAGACAGGAACACACAAAAGTACCAGATGTTGGGCCAGCCGAGTGGCTCAGTTGGTTAAGGGCGCAAGCTCTGAGCAACAGGATTGCTGGTTCAATTCCCACATGGGCCAGTGAGCTGCGCCCAAGCTGAGCTGCCAACAGGTGGCAGGATGACTCAGCTGGTGAGAGCACATGCTCTTAACAAGGTTTCCAGTTCAACTCCCACATGGGATGGTGGGCTACGCCCACCCACAACTGAGATTGAACATGGCACTTTGAGCTGAGCAGCTGAGAGCTGCGGACAGGTGGCCGGATGGTAACTGGACTTGGAGCTGAGCTAGCTGCACCTGCCACAACTAAGATTGAAGGACAACAACTTGGCTGCTCCTCTTCCTCAATTCCCCAACACTGTTCCCCTCCCCCAATTTCCCAAGAAAAGCTTTAAAAAAAATCTAAACAAACATGGAATTCTAGTTAGTTAACTCTAGCATTCAAGACTTTGGGTGTGTATTAGTCTCTTGGGGCTGCTGTAATGAAGTACGACAGACTGGAGGGAGGGGGTGCTTAAATCACAGAAGTGTACTGTCTATCAGGTCTGGAGGCCAGAAGTCCAAGATAAGGTGTTAGCAGGGCTGGTTTCGCCTGAGGCTGTGAGGGAGAATCTGTGGCAGGCCTCTCTCTCCTCAGGCATTCCTTGGCTTACAGATGGCCATCTTCTCCCTGTGTCTTCATATTTGTCTTCTCTCTATCCCTGTCTACCTCTGTGTCCAAAGTTCCTCCTTTTTAAGGACATAGTCATATTGGCTCAGGTACCACCCAAATGACCTCACCTTAACTTGATCATCTGCAAAGACCCAATTTCCAAACAAGGTCACATTGACAGGTTCTGGGGGACACAATTCAACCTACCACAGGATGAAGTGCACTGATGTCTGTAGCTTACTTTGAATGAATCAAAAACACAAAATGGGTTGATGGAGGGAAGAAGGCCAGATTGACAAATGTGGAGGGCATAGCAAGCTCAGCTCCAAGTCCAGTCACCATCCGGCTACCCGTCGGCAGCTCATGGCACACTCAGCTCAAGGTGTCATGTTCAATCTTAGTTGCGGGTGAGCGTAGCCCAACATCCCATGCAGGAGTTGAACTGGCAACCTTGCTGTTAGGAGCCCATGCTCTCACCAGCTAAGTTATCCTGCCACCTGTTGGCAGCTCAGCTCAGGCACAGCTCACTGGCCCATGTGGGAATTGAACCGGCAACGCTGTTGCTCAGAGCTTGTGGTCTTAACCAACTGAGCCACTCGGCCAACTCTGTGTGGCTGTTTTGACTTGCTGAATACTTAGACATTTTCCTAATAAAATGTTGGGGAAGATACTGGGTGATGGGGATGACATGGTATGATGAGGTGGGGCTTGTTTTAAAACAGTCCAGTGGAGTGGGCAAGGGAAATGGAGGGCATTATAGGGTCAAACAATAAAGGACTATCTTAACCATAGTTGGAGCTGGGTGTATGGGGGTGCATTATACCATCTGCTTTGGGGTATATTTGAAAATTTCTATAACAATAAAAAAATTTTTATTTGCATTTATTTTTTTCTCTTTTATTAAATCTATTGGGTTAACAATGGTTAATAACAATATATAACATTCAGGTGTACAACATTATAATTTGACATCTGTATATTGTGAGCTTACCACCTGAAGTCTAGTTTCCTTCCCTTACCTTATATTACAATTAAAAAAATGCTGATAATGTGCTTGAGAGTGAACACATTAGGGAGGGTATAGTAGGGAGGACTTACTTTATTATTATTTTTTTTGTTCATTATTCTTTAGATTCCATATATAAGTGAGAGCATATGGTCTAGGGAGGGCTAACTTTATTTTTTATTAAAATAAGATTACACATTTTATTATTATTATTTTTTAAAGATTGTATTGGGGAATTGGGGAAGGGAACAGTGTTGGGCAATTAGGGAAGGGAACATTGTGTTTTTCCAGGACCATCAGCTCCAAATCAAGTTGCTGTCTTTCAATCTTAGTTGTGGAGGGCACAGCTCAGCGCCAAGTTCAGTCACCACTTTCAATCTAGTTGCGGGGGTGGGGGTGGGGGGGGCACAGCCCACCATCCCATGTGGGAATCGAACTGGCAACCTTGTTGTTAAGAGCATGCACTCTAACCAACTGGGCCATCCGGCCGCCAGTTGGCAGTTCAGTGGCAGCTCAGCAGCAGCCCAGCTCAGGCACAGCTCACTGGCCCATGTGGGAATCAAACCAGCGACCCTGTTGCTCAGAGCTCATGCTCTTAAGCAAACTGTTAACCAACTGAGCCACTTGGCTGGCCCCCAGGAGGGCTTACTTTAAATCCCTAAGTCTAGGGCCGGCCGAGTGGCTTGTTGTTTAAGAGTTGGCTTAAGATGTCAGCTTTGAGAAGCAGGGCCCCGGTTCAAATCCCACATGTGGGCCAGTGACGCTGCGCCCTTTACAGCTAAGATGGTGAACCTGGAGCTGGGCTGCTGTGAGTCGCCGGCGACGGTGTAGGCTGCAGTGGGGCTGGCTGGCAGCAGGCGTGAGCTTTCGTGAGCTGCGGTGAGCCACCGTGAGCGGCTGTCCAATGGCCGGTGAGCGACTGCCTCACCTGGGAAGAGTGAAGTGATAATACCAACACGGGCCATTGAAGCGATGTCCTCCACAACAAGACTGAAGAACAGAAGGACAGCAACTTGTCTATTCCACTTCCCTGATTCCCCAACGCTGTTTTCCTCCCCAAGTTCCCCAATAAAATCTTAAAAAAAATAAAAAAGAAAGAGTTGGCTTGGGAGTGCAAGCTCTGAGCAGCAAGTCCACTGGTTCGGATCCCACATGGGCCAGTGACACTGCGCCCTCTACAGCTAAGATGGCGAACAATAGCTCCACCAGGAGCTGGGCTGCCGTGAGTTGCCAGTGACGGCCTAGGCTGCTGTGGGGCTGCATTGGGCTGCTGTAAGCTACCATGAGTGGCCGGCAGCCAGCATGAGCTGCCGTGAGTGGCCGTCCAGAGGCCGGTGACCGATCTGCCTCAGCCAGGAAGAGTGCAATGATCACAATACCAACATGGGCCAGTGAAGCGACGTCCTCCACAACTAGACTGAAGAACAAAAGGACAGCAACTTGTCTGTTCCCCTTCCCGGATTCCCCAAAGCTGTTCCCTCCCCCAATTCCCTAATAAAATCTTTTTTAAAATAATAAAATAAATAATAATAAATCTCGAAGTCCAGAAGTTCTCTCCTTAGCATGGCCATTGAGTTGAGATCTTGAAGGATAAGGGGCAGGTATAGGGAAAACTGCAGTAGGGGTAGGGGTGTAGAGATGTGTCTGGAGGGTCAGAATGGCCAAGAGGGGGCCAGTGTGGCTTGAGCATTTAAGCTGGGGAAGGATACGATGGATTGATGTTGTAAAAAGCACCCTGGGTGAGTGTGGAGAATGGGCTATGGGTGGCCAAGATGGGAGCAAAGAGAGCAGCAAAGGACATCACTGCAAAATTCCAGGCAAGAGATGATGGTGGTGGTGGCCTGCACGGGGTGAGGCAGTGGCCATGAACGGAGGTGGCTGGCCCTGGGATGTGCTGTGGCCTTGGTTTGAGGTGACAGATGGGAGGCATTCTAGCAAGAGTGCCTGGGTGACTGATAGAGGGCCCATTTGTCAAAATGGGAAGACTGGGGGTGAATCCAGTTTTTCTGGAGAAAGTTGAGAGCTGATTTGCTCAGGTCAAAGTCTTAGAAGCTATTGATGGCTCAACCCATGAGCTCTTCAAGGGGCTTTTGGGGTTCCCTCTTAATGCTCTGTCTTAAAACCAAAATGGACTTTGCAAAACCTCATCTAGACCCCCAAATGTGGACTTGTTTGTGACCTGGTCTTAAAACTTAGCAGTGGGTCAGCCCCCAAGCCCCAAAATTGTCTTGCTCAAATCCAGTCCTATGCCATCCAATATCACAGCCACTATCAATGGCCTGTGTCTGCTGAGGGCTTGCAATGTGGCCAGTCTCAACTAAGATGTGTTATAAGCAAAAAACCCTGGATTTCAAAGACTTAGATAAATAAGCATGCCAAATATGTTGAAATGTAATATTGGGGTATATTGGGTCAGATAAAATATATTATTAAAATTAATCTCACCTTTTTACTTTTCTTTTCACATGCCTGGAGTAAATTGAAATTTATACCTGTGGCTCTCACTGTATATCTACCGGGGGTGCCAAAAAAATGTATACACATGAGTTGTATTTATTTTTAGTTATCGGTATATATTGAGTACTACAATTTTAATACAGTTTTTTCCTTTCTTAAAATGTGTATACATTTTTTTGGCACCCCCTGTATATTGGAAAGCCCTGATCTAATTCAACAGGGGTCAAGTCCACGAGCTCCTATAGGGGGTGCCACATTCACCCCACAAGCCCTGTCAAACAGTACCTGCTTTTCCAGAAGTTGAAGTCTTCTTTGTCAATCTGACTCATTAGACCTCAGACTGCCTTTGCTTTAGGCGTTGTGTTAAAATTTTTTGGCTCCTTCAGCCGCGGCAGCCTTTGAGGAACTCCAGCCATGGCTCTGTACTACCCCATGGCCA